ACACGAAGACGCTTCCTGGCACGGAGTACGGCACGGAGTACGGCACGCAGAACGGACAAACACACATCGAAACACGGACAGAAATACGCTAGCCGCGCCTGCTCTCGGTGCCGATGCCGTCTGCCGCGGTTCATTTCACTTCGTTGTCCTCGATCGAAAGACCAACGGATGCGAACCGACGACACCTTGCGCTATGGCGCTGCCGCCGCGCGCCTTTCTCCAATTCTCGCCTCAAAATTGGAAAAGCATCCCTTCTTCCCAGCTACGCATTGGAACTTCGAAGGAACGAGGAACCCACGTAGGATCCGACTTCGGAGACTTCACGTTCCCCCTTCCCCCCGCGCTTGTCTCGGAGGGGAAGATTTTGCGGAAATGATGCACGCGACCTGCGCAGCACACGCTGTTCATCAACTGGCCGGAGAAATCAGCACCATCTTCCCGGATTTAGACGAGTCGGTCTCGAAATTTTTCGTGGAGTCTGCCGCTCGAGTAAGCACGCTCCGTGAGATCGCTTTCGGAGTGCGGAGTGCCGCTGCCATCCCAGCCAGTCTTGACAAGATGGGGTACCTCTTAAACGCTGCGGTTTATCACGCCGTCCACTTCGGTTCATTTTCGAAGGTGTTAGACTGTCTGGACGTCAGTGACGCGGCGAGCATCGGAGCGGCTGCTCAAGTAGTGAGGAAGCCCTCAGTGTGGGACAATCTCGCTTTCATGAAAACCAAGTTCGGGGAGCCTACACATGCCATCGAGACACTGGAAACGTAGCGAATAGCTGTAGTAGAAAGCGTGGGTATCTCCGAAGCGCTTGTGAGAGATCTCAAGAAAACACCCGGTGATGTTGGGGATTCGACCCGTAGGAAATGCGATGCGGTTGTGATACTGTAGCCCGTAATTTGAATTGTGCCTGGAGTAAGCAGGATTGAGTCCATATCAATAAGTATCATGAAAACTGCACGAAGCTCCTATTTTTATGTAACATCCCTTTTTTTTGCTCGTATATCGGCCATTTTTCAGGGCATATTCGCATGCATATTTCCGTATTTTTCAGTGTATGAAGTACAGTGAGAATGTTGCATTGAGGGAGCGGTTCTGTCACGTTGCGCCGATGGTTCTTCCGCAGGAGTTCATGACGGGAATCAGATAGAGGCTTCTCCGGAGCCTGCGGTGTCTCCATGTTTCCCGCCTGCTCCCGGATCTCAATCGAGTCCTATCCTGCCGTGGACGCAGAGACGCAGACAACGCGTGAACCTCTTCCTCCGCCGCACCACCGAGAGTCTAGTAGTGCATTCATCGTCATAAGCTCACAGTGAAAGTTCTATCCCTCATCGACGAGTCCGAATTCGGTCCCCTCGGAGGACAACGCTAATATGCCTTCTCCTTGTGACAAGAACCGGGGTATCAGAAAGCTCTCCCAAATATATTTGAAGCCCGCGAGAGTGACCGTTGAAATTAAGGGCACTAAACCTGCAAGCTTCCGCTGAAGGGAGGGGAAAGCGAGACCGTTCCCTCGCGGAAATTGTCGGTACCGATTCCAGGAATGTTTGCTGATTGTCGTTCCACACCTTTCCGGCAGTCCATCTGACGGCAGGGACTCCACCTGCTTGTACTCGAACTCAATTGACAGTATCGGGCCGGTCGATCATCGGGATTCTCCGACAAATCTGGTAGTCTTTATTTCCGCCGCTATTCAGGGTATCTTGGGATTGTCCGCTGTCCGTGGAGCGAGCTCCACGGGAGCGAGTTCTCAGCCGCTAATTGTAAGCTCAGTCATCCTCTGAACATGCTTCCGATATCCGGCGGATTATACGATGCATCTCGAATGCTCAGACGGCGCACAGTGGGGCCAATTCACATTTCAGGTGGACAAAATTATTTTTTTATTCATTTCGCATGGTAGGCTTGCCTCCATCAGGGTAACGCATAAGAATATACATACAGAATATGCATACAGGATATATGGCTAATTTTTATTGACGGAAAAAACTGCAGCTTCAAACTAGAGATTATCGGATGATTCGCTGGAAGTCTCTGAGGCGACCGAGCTTTCAGGATCATCGGTAGACTCGATTGGTACGGCCTCTGCTTCCCCTCCGGCTGAGTTTAGCAAAGCGTGTACCTGTGGATCGATTTTTTTGGGCCGCCTTGGGGGTCGAGAACTTACTATCAAGGGATCCGAGGGAATGAGCAACATGCTCAAGAGATCAGTAGTATTTTCTCGGGAATTTCTTTCTGCTATTTTCCAATCTATAGCGCCGATTTCGTGCTTCTTGGGCTTCCTCTGTCATCATGCCGACCGGGAGGGTAAGGTATTTGACAACCTTAGGGCTGTGGTCCAGGATTTCATGAATAGTCGGCGTTGCTGGGTGCCACGGATACAGCTCCTGCAGAACTTGCTTCGTCTCTTTCACGAATATCTCGATATTCATTTATATGATATTCTCAATATTCACTCCGAATTTCGAACAGAGAGTCCGGAGAATAACACGGAATCTGGTAATCAGGCTCTCGTCGAGGTCGGTGATCGCGGAAGTCACACTTGAATTCTCGTGGGGGCCTCATCCTCGCTTAACAGAAAGTAGGTGTAACCAGAACCTACGTATTCAGAATTTCTGATGTCAACTTCGACGATTTTTTTCCGAAAATCGGGAAAAACCGGTTGACAATTCTCTTTTCCTGAGATAGTTCAAGGTCTGGTACGTCTCCCAAATAGTCAATATCCGGGCGGGGAACGGATGGAAGTACTTTCCAAGAGTCACCAATTTTGATGAATTTCGGGGCTTGGAGGTGTTCTCTGTTCCTCGGCTCGGCAGGTGCGAAACCAGCTGACGGGGTCCAAACCGGTCTCAAACGCGAGATCCGGACCGGAGGTGTTTTGGGAAAATCCATTGAGCCGCCTCGGAAGTGTATGAATGTATTCATTTCCGAGCTTTATCAATGGGAGAAAGAAATATCAGATCGCACCTCCAATAAAATCTTGACTTAGACAGCTCCGCGCTCTCTCGTAATAGCGGTGTATACTGGAAGACCTATGGCTTTCTGACTTCCAAACTTCGGTGAATATTTTAAGCTATCGCCGGAGATCGAAATCCGGAAAATACTTTCGTCCACCTAAAATGTGATTTGGCCTCACTGTGCGGCGGCCCGAGGGCCGAACTTGGCCTATGGACAAATTTCGATGAAAGTGGAGGATGCGGAGAATCGCTGGGAGAATCTATATGGAAGTATCGTCGATGGGAAAGAATGCAGGAGCGCCCATCCTATTGCGATGATTCACTTCGATGTTGGCCAGCCTCCGCCTGATTCGGTCGGCCGCTCGCGCTCAGACACGGCTCGGCGGATTCGAGACATCGGAAAGACCTCAGTCTCGGTGGGGGACACTTGAGAGAAAACATACCCCTCATCCGCATCAATCAAATTATGGTGTTCTCGCTGTTTTCGCTGTCTCATTCAGGGCACAAGGTAAGAATTTCTTCCCCGGGGTCTTCACGTGGCCCGCGGCCCTCCGACGACTGAAGGGTATTGGCCGCCATGATTTCCACCTGAGCAGCCCTGCTCTGGAATAAACGAAAACTCAACCCGACTCGAGCCCAGCTCGATGTTCCACGGGTGGAGCTCCACTCAGATCGGAGTTTCGCCCGATGAACGGGGATTGATGAAAATTCCATCCGAAGAACTTCACGGCCCTGCGCGGGCGGAAGCGGCGGTTACCGGCTGTACCTCTCCGGAGTGTAGTTTCGAATATACGTCGGATGAGTCGAGGCGCTAACTGCCTCATTCGGAGCACCCCATTTTGGAATACTTGATCCCACACAAAGGTTTGTACGTCTCCGCAGTCACGTTTCGAAGGCTATCATCACCACATCGATTGACAAGAAAAAGTGACTACACTAGTCATCGGTCATCGTCCACAAAGAAAACACAATGAAGGTTTCAAACCCCAACTTGAAACGTGGATGCCGTAGGGCATCGAAGCCCCTGTCGCGTTGGACGCCTCCATCCTGAAAATTTTCGCTACCCCCCGCAAGAAGTCGATCGTCGTTCGGCTGTTGTATTCATTGACAACCTTCAGGATGCGCTCGTCAGCTGCGATATACTTTCGGTGTTCCGGGTCCGGTCGATGACCCGCCACGAAACGTCCGTAGTCGACCTCCCGCATGCTGGACGTTTCGCAAAGCATCGATGAATATCCACAGGCCCGGGTGGTCTATGTTGATTAAACGGAAAACTGAGTTCAGATATCGGTCAGTTTCGTATTTTGGATAAGGGAAAAAACTGTGATTTTGAGATCGTCACCGCCGGATTGCCGTGGAGATCATAGCAGACTCTATTTTTTTCTCTGGATAGAGTGAGGGCTTGACATTCAGGCGCGAAGCATCAAAACGGCTCTTACAGAAGTTTTCCGGACAGCCTATTTCTCCACACCCCCCGGAAGCGCTTGCGTTTCCCTATGTATCACAACTTAATTCTCCTCCACACAATTCTTGAATTATTACATCTTATAAGTTAGAATATATCGCTGATTTCCTCTCACACAACAGTCTTGAGAGGTGGCGAATTTCGAAGCAGCGCCTTATTGTCTATCGATTCTCGGACTAGCTCATGGTTCTGGCAAACATTTCGGGAGCGTTGTTTCCCGCAAATTTAACCTCTAGGGGATACAGCAACTGAGCCGCGCGGCGAGAAAGTCTTCCGTTGCTGAACTTGACTGTGTAGGTTCTCACAAGATCGTCCCTACCCGTATGGGCTGCCTCGATCCGCACAAGTGGCCATCGGACTCGAGCCACATTGTCTTCCCGGAGCAAACGGACATCGCCCACATCGATCGGAGCAGACCGCGATCCGCGTGTCCTGTTGGCGCTTCGTAAGAGCGCGCGATACTCTCGGTACCATCGGACGGATAAGCTCTTGAAGTAGTTCGTTCTGCCGGCGAGTTCCTTTCGGAGCTCATCTTCCTTCACGACCTCGTCGCTCCGCAGCCGGTCGATTGGAAGCAAGCCAGCTTAGGCGGGATAACCCGGACCCCCTCGGAGGAACTGCGCTGGGGTCAGAGCGGCCGGTGCGTCTGGATCTGTAGATACGAAGGTAAGCGGCCGCTCGTTGATTACTCCGGCCAGTTCGCAGAGAATTGTTCGGAATTCTTCATAACCTATGAGACTCCGTCCCAGCGTTTTGACGAGAGTAGATTTGAGAATGCCGACAACCCGCTGATAAAATCCTCTATGCCACGGCGCGCGGGGACAAATGAAGCTCCAGTGAACACCTCGCCCGTTCAGCTCCTCTTGAACTGTTGGATCCTTCAGCGAATTGAAGACCCTTTTCAGTTCGGTTGCGGCCTTGACGAAGGAGGCACCGTTGTCGGATATAATCCGCGTGCAGCTCGGGTGCGCTGCCAGGAATCGTCGCACGGCCAGATGTGTCTGTGGAGTATTTTGCGACGGAAGGAGCTCCAGATGAACGGCACGAATCGGACAGCACGTGAACACGGCGACATAGGCTTTCTGAGATCCCAGACGATGGCGAACATGAAACGGACCACAGAAGTCGAGGCCGGTCGAAGCGAAGGGGGCAAGGAAGTCCGCTCTGCACTCGGGAAGAGGCGCCTCAATCTGAGTGGCGGGAGCCGCCTGACGTTCGCGACAAATCACGCAGCGGCGAAGAATAGATTTGATTACCTGTCTGCCTCTCGTTATCCAGAATCGCCTCCGGAGCTGAGAGAGCACGGTGGAAACCCCGAAATGAGCATTTACACGATGCGCATCGACTATCAAGAGTGACGCCAATCGAGACTGACCCGGGGTGACGGCAGGGTTTTTCCCCTCGTAGGTATAGAACGGTCCTTCGGTCAGCCGCGTTCTGGCTCGGAGGAGACCGTTTTCGTCGACGAAGAGATCGAATGAGCTGAGCTTCGAGGCCGTCGCAACCCGTTCCCCGGCATGAAGCGTCAAGCTCCGGGCGGAAGTATTCAGCCTGAGTCCACCGAATTCTGTGCTGTTCCGCCTTGCGATGAAGTGTGATGATTTCAGGTACCGTAAGCTTTCGTGCCAAGCACCCAAACCGGAGTACATTGGCAAGAACCCGTACCGCTCCGCTGGAGGAGCTAAAAAGATCGAGGTTCAATCCGGCAGCCGTCGACACGATTGGAGCGGAGACCGATCGGATCTCCTGACGAACATCTTGGAAGGTGGGCTTAGTTGCAGCCGGTTGGGACAGCGGTCGTTCGCTGGCTGGGAGTCGTAGCCACTCCGGGCCATACCACCATTCTGATGACCCCGTCAGCGTCTGAGCGCTGATTCCCCGGGTAGCCAGGTCGGCGATATTGCTTGTCCCTCGGACATGGAACCAGTCTTCCCGGCGAGAACTCGCCTGAATCTCCTCCACGCGGTTGCTGACGTAGGTTTTCCACCCACCGGGTTTAGCAGACGTAGCCCAGTGGAAGGCGACGGTTGTGTCGATATAGTAGGTGAATGCCTCGAACTCCACCCGCATTCGCTGCACCAGAAAATTGTTCAGTCTGACCGCGATCAGAGCCGCCAGGAGCTCAAGGCGGGGCAAAGACACCCGGTCGCGAGGAGCCAATCTCGACTTCGCCATCACGAGCGAGAAGGTCGACGATCCATCCGAGAAACGGCTCTCGATATAGGCAGCGCACGCGTATGCCAACTGGGATGCGTCTCCGAACAAATGGAGCTGGAATCCCACCGGATCTCTGCGCGCGTCGCCGTATTGGCGTCGGGACACGAAACCCGCGGAGGCCCTTGCCTCGGTAGTCCATTGAGCAAGCTCCTCTCTCATTTCATCAGAAACTGTCTGAGTCCACTCGAGATTCGCCGTCCACATTTTCTGAACGATAATTTTTCCGCGGATGGTGAACGGCATCAACCACCCGAGCGGGTCGTAGTACGAGGGCACTATGCTGAGAACTGCTCGCTTGGTTAAGGATGATTTCGACTCGAATTGCTCGCTTAACGAGGAGGTGGTGAATCGGAAAACGTCATCCTTCGGCTCCCATGAGAGACCGAGTACCTTAAGCACACCACAGCCGCCCCTATCGAATGTTGACGAATCCGCTCCCGTGCTGACCAGATGATCGGTGATCGCATTAGAGTTTGTCTTCCATTTTGCCAGCGACATGCCGGCGACTCTGAGTGTATCTCGCATTCTATCAATGAATTCAATCGCTTGTTGATCGCTTCTGGAGCTCTGGAGGAAATCGTCGGCGTACAAATATTCCCCCAGCTCTCTGCACGATGGATCACCCCGCTTCAAATGCTCACGGATCGTAGCAGCCAGCAAAAACCCCGAAGACGCCGCTCCCCATATGACCTTCAGCATCTGGAATACCTTGATTTCACGTTCACCTGGTGCTCTCCATACGAATTTGAAGAGCGAACGATCATTTTCTCGGATTGCCAGCTGCAGATAGGCCTTGGTGATGTCGGCGGATACGGCCACGGCATGCTTACGAAAATTCAGGAGCACCGATACCAGCTCCGGGTTGAGATTAGGTCCGGGGAGTAAGTGGTCGTTCCGAGAAGTAGCTCCCCGATCCTTTGATGAGCAATCGAACACGATTCTCCACTTTTCCGTCGCACCGGAGCCTGTGATAACTTCATGATGCGGCATGAAGTAGCTTCCTTCGACTTCTGATGGCTCGTCCGGTGCGATTGTTCCAACCTCAACGGCATGACCTTCGCAGACGAATTTCATCAGTTCCTCGTGGTATCGACGATATGTGAGGGGTTCTCGTTCGAGCTGGGAAAGCTTTCTCTGCAGCCGCCTCAGAGCGACATTCTTATTTTTGGAGAGCAGGCCTATGGTTTCCCGTTTGGGGAACTCCACGACGTATTGATGGTCCTTGTACTCGAGCCCAGAAATGAACTGCCGGACCGCAGAGTCCTCGTCTGCGGACAATTGCGGAGACGTAGGGGCGTCGGCGATGCCCACCGATTCAAGACTCCACGGATTTTGTAGTGTTTTCGCGGCTGAGGAGAGCGGGAGATGGTCGGAGGACATCGCGGCCGCGCAACAGATCACGTGTACTGTCGTAACTGTTGCATCGATCCGACTCTCGGGCGATGTAGGACCGCCTAGCAGCCAACCGAACCGACCGGCGGGTGAACACCGAAGTTGTGCTCCAGGGCGAGAAGCTCCACCGTAGTCTTGTCGAAGGGCCCCGTTAAACGAACATTGAAAACTGGAGCGTTCTTGATGGAGTGGGAACTCGCGAAGGTCTGCACGCTGAGATCTCGCGAGCCGACCGGAGAGTCCCGGAGCATCTTGCGCAACGATGGCAGCATCACAGTGATTGACCTACCGCCTTCTATGAAAACCGTTATCGGTATCCAGAGGCCTCCAATGACCACGTATGCCGAAGAAGTCCACAGGAGGGCATTGGTTGAATCGACACCGCAGGCGACCTCATCAACGATCGCACTCGTCGCCGCCGATGCGTTCTGGTGCATCGGCGCGTAATGCCTGCTCGACTTGCAGATTGCACATGGGAATCGGGGTCCCGAACATTCGCTGGTGCTTCGATGATTTGGTCCGAAACATCTGAAGCATCGCTTTTGATTTGACAGGATCTCCTTTCGTTTCTCGAGTGTCAGATCAGCGGAACACCGGGAGGAATTATGGTCGGCAGTGTCACAGAAAAGGCACGGGCGGGGCTTGAATTTGCCCCGTTGGGTCTTGACAGCAGCAGCGATGACTGTTGAACTGTATCGGCGATCTTGATGTTTCTTCCGGCGATCTAGTACGTCCTTGGACTCAGCTGGAGCCGCAGCAGCGTCCAGGAACATGTTGTCCTCTGAATCCTGCACACGTCGTCTCAAGAATCCGATCATTTTCTCAACACCGGAGACGGTCTGTTCGACGCTATTCTCGGGAGAGTCAGCATGAGCTTCCTGTTGTGGCTCATGAGAGAATCTCTGCTCCATCCGGCGCTCGTCCTTCAGATCTTGTCGCATACGGGGTGGCATCGCAGCTTCCATCGAAGACTTCAGAGTCAGAGCGTAGTTTGCCAGCGGAATCCCGTTGGCGGACAGGATCGCCGTATGTCCTTGGATCAGCGTCAGGAACTTTCGAAGACACGTGAAATCGTAAGGTTTCGTGATCCGCGGCAGGCGTTAACGCCACCTCGTAACTTGAGTCGGTCAGCTCCAACGCCTCCACAATCTGTTTCGGCTCGTCACGAAGATACCTGCGGAGGATCATAAGTTTCTCGATCGGCGTAGCATCCTGTCGTCTGTTCACGGAGCATTGAAATTGGGTCATGAACGACCGAAATTTCAGGCGATCGCCAGTGAAGGTCTCGGGTGAAATGTCTAACTCCCGCGGCAGTCTGGCGATCGAAGATAGCGGGAACCGGAGAGCATCCGACGGCGTTTCAGCGACACTCGTTGGATTCTGTTGAGCGGCTGACTGAGTCGAAGAGTCCCGCTCAGCGGTCGAGCGCACCTCCGTTGTAGCATTTCTGAGCTCTGCGGGAGCGAGAGTTTGACTGAGAATCGACCCGAAACGGACCCGTCTTTTTGCGCAAGGGGTCGAGTAACAGGTTTCGGCCTCGTTTTCCTCGCTCTCCTGAGGCAAGCACGCGCCAAATTCAGAGATGAACTCTGACACGTCCGGATCGAATTGAGACGCTTCCGCCAGCTCCCTCTCTTGCTGGTCCTCTTCGTCGATCAGGTCCCATATCTCTTCATCCCATGAGCTAACCTTCGCCTTGAGTTCTTTGATGAGTGCCAAGACTATCGTGGGGCCCTGATTGATCGGAAACTGCAGTTCACCCGAATCGGTATCTTTGATCGATGCGGTCTCAGCCTTAATTCGATTTCGTAGCACAGTTCGGTTATATCGAAGTCTTCTCAACACTTTTCTGACGGCTTCCTCATTGCGCGGTTTCGCTGGCCCCGTTTCATTTTCGGACGGTGAGTCAGCTGAGGCTGTTCCCTCCATCGCGATGAATCAGCCTTCTGTAGTCCACAGCAGCACGTTTCGTCGGAAAAGTTCACACACTTTTTTTCCAGGCTCCTTGTCCTGGTCACGGCACCATGTTGATTAAACGGAAAACTGAGTTCAGATATCGGTCAGTTTCGTATTTTGGATAAGGAAAAAAAACTGTGATTTTGAGATCGTCACCGCCGGACTGCCGGGGAGATCATAGCAGACTCTATTCTTCATTCTGGAGAGAGTGAGGTTTTGACATTCAGGCGCGAAGCATCAAAACGGCTCTTACAGAAGTTTTCCGGACAGCCTATTTCTTCACAGTCTACTCCGGAGTCGCCTTGCAGCCGGGCGGCTTCGGCAATATTGTTCGTTCGGCCATCCCCATCCAGAGTGCGTTGGTATACGAACCACATAGCGATCAGAAAACGCGGATCGGCGCGAGATACGTCTCTACCGGGTGCCAATCTTTGGCGACCAACATAATTGTCTTCGAAACACATGGAGGACTGGCATGAGTTCTTCGGGTACCCCCGGTGCCAGTTCACTTATGGCAACGTCAACGTGCTCCGGGGGAACGGATGCCACGGCTGGTATCACACGGGCGTATAGAGCGAACTCCGCGTCTTGGTTCTAGCGTTTTATGAAGCCGAGATCCATCAACTTCCCCTTCATGTTCTTAACCAAGCAGAACAAACAACCGTTCATCTCGGCATCGGGGAAGATGGTTCTGAAGGCGTTGATCAAGCGGAGTTCGAAGTCCAAAGAGACTTGGGTCGGCTTGAATTGGGGCCAAGCGGTACAAAGGAGTTGAATCATGCGCGTGTATGAAGCCCGGCTCTCATTCGGCAGGAGCGCGTAGCAGACGGGGAAGACGAAGCCCGACCGCTCTGCGAGAACAACGAGCTGGAAGAGCTTACGCGACAAGCTGAATGTCCCGTCGACGCATAATTTCTCCACCAGACCGATCCACTCAGCTACGGACCGACGACCGAAAATTAGGATGCGATCTCCATCGACGTACCCGGAATCCCCAATCAGGAACGACTCCGAGTGCCCTGGTGGCGACTCGAACACTGCGTATTCGTCGGGGATCGATATCCTACTGCGGTCCGACGGTGAAGCAGGCGCACTGGCGCAGGCTTTCCTCACACGATTCACCACCTTGGCCAGAGTACGCCGCGACCGGAATTCCATCTGCACGGCTGCAGACGCCCCACTCTGAACATGGTTGATGAGTTGGGCTGGAGTCTCTTGAGTCTCCTCGGCCCGACGTTTCATTTCGGCGCGTCTGTGAGCTACCTCCACGGCAGCCGCATCTGAGGGAACAGTGAGTGATCCGGAGATCTCGATAACTTCACCGGTGGCCACTTCTCGGCGTGAACGAACCTTGCATTCCCGTCTGAATCGACAGCGCCAGAATAATGTGCTCTGATCGGCACACAATCGATCCTATCGAAAACATAAATGAAACCCCGGTGGCAAAGCTTGTCCTTCCCGCGAGAAGACTTAACCATTATCGGGCACTCAGACATGCTACTTCTAGGAGATTAGAAAACGGGTTTGAGGATTCTAAGCTCTGGACTTCGGTTCAAATAATTGGATGTTGCTTAACTTCGCGTGTTTTTGTTGATGCCGTCAATTGTCGCATGCACGCTTCCCCAAGGAAGCTGGGGACGTTCCACTTGTTGAGAACCTCAGCTACCGAGACCACGATTGGGGTTGCTGAAAATCGCAGCGCTTGGACACTCGACTCGGGTCTTCTCTGGTATGCCATGTATTGTAGAGACGAGCTGAATACCCATCCATTCAGGGAAATACATCCGTATTCTGCATCCCAACCACGAAGCCGACTTTCTCGTTGTGACAACACCTGAAGCCTTCCCTCATAGATCCCTCGCACAAAACTCCTGAGAGCCGTCCCATCCGGTTGCTCATTTTCTCCAGTCGTCCCACGGCGGCCAAACGGTACCGCGACCAAACGGTCCCGCGGCCAAACAGTCTCGCGTCCAAACGTCTCGCGACCAAACGTCCCGCAGCCGCGGTGTGGCGGCCAAATGTCCCGCGGCCAAATGGGGTGCACCAGCCTCATTTCGTCATGACATAGCCGCGCAGCGAGATCACATCTGAGTGAGTCATTGGCCGGGATACGGGATCTAGTTCCCTAGAAGAGCGGCTCTCGAGTCGATCTTAGTCAGCTAGTCTCACCAACGCTCCGTCGCTTACCTGGTCGAGTCGTTTACGAACGCTCCTTTACGGCCGTCGGTGCAAAGTCCATCCCAAAGAACAAAGCCTCGTAACAGGGCGTGTTCTGATCGTCTCCCAAGTCATTTCGTGCCTGCGAACGCAACACCGACTACATCATGGTGCCCGTCCTCGCATTTATTTCGGTTTTAGGTGAATTTTCAATTTTCGGTTCTCACGATTCAGCAATTGGATACCGAGTTGAGGTCTAGTGTGCGACATCGATCAATTGGAGCTCCGAAAGTGGTGTTCCGTGTGGAATCTACAGTTTCGCTCGAGCTGTATCAGCGGGAATTGTGGAGCTCCGCAAGTGAAGAAACGCTGCAGTCTTCTGAGTCGAATCAGAGGAACTCGCGCATGGTCGCGGATTTTAGTACTCCTTAATGCGATTTTGAGAGGCTTAAGAGATATTTTCCCGATGTCACGGTGGTCATCGGGCATCGAGGCCTGGGCGTCGGTCGGGATGATTTTCCTCGGAAAATCGGCCTTCGCGCAGTAACATGTCCACCCGTTCGGTGTCTCACTTCATCTCCAGCTTTTGATTTTATCCTTCCCAGGTATAGCAATACATGAATGTAGCGCTCAGGGGGCCGGCGCTTTCGATCTCGGAGACCACAGAGAGGGACAGCTTTCTGGTAAGTCTTCTTCACTGATTGCCTCGGAATTCAATTCTCCCGGATGAGAAAGACGATGAAGATGTCGGCAAGCCGAGAACTTCGGGACACAGAGATCTAATTTGAGGATTTCTTCAGGTCAAATTTCTCCCTTGAACGTTTTCGCAATCGTCTTGGGATGCTTGGCTGCGCTCGGTGCCGTATGCGTGACAGCGGTTTGTGCATACCTGACGTGGGTCAGGTACAGAGACGCCGAGGATGAGCAATACTCAGCTCCCAACGGACACAATCGGAAACCCTACAGAGTAATTTAACCATAAGTTCAGTCGCGTTCTGAATTCTGCCGAGCTCGTCTCCTCCAGAACGACCGAAATTGTAAACAACTACGTCATTGTGAACTCATCCGAACTGCCATGCTCTTCTCATCATCTGAACATGATTATGGTTCAATGAATAAATGCATTTGAACACCGAACTTCATACACTGAATGAGATCCGTGTACCGATATTCAGCAGGAACTGCACCTCTAGAGACCGTCTAGCCACCCCGAACTCAGATCGGCGACCGACATTCCTCAGTTCCGCATGCCGCTGAATCATTCCGAGGCGCAGCGCTCACCAGACCACACTGGACGGCGTTGATATAGGGTCAAGATATTCTAGTGTGTGAGAGCTGCGGCGGATTCGCGATTGAGTTCTCACAGACCCTTTTGGCGATACGCCGGAGATCATCGCTCCCGCTCTGGGAATTAGTTACCGGCGGATTCACGGAGAGTTCCGGAGAGGGAGACCGGAACACCCAACGCATGCATTTTCACCCTGCAGCTTTTCACGGAAGACCCGTCGTGAATCATATGATCCGATTCTCGTTGCGCATGTTTTCCTCGAGTCTGTGATGGGCATCGGAGATGAGTCCAGCGGTGTGCCATACTCTGGATATGTACTCGTTTATTCAATGTACAAGTCACGCATACATTTAGGTATACAAGTCTCATTGAGGCTGCTAGATCACAAGGCGTATTCACTTTCACAGTGAACTTAAATTACGAGAATGAATTTTCATTTTCTTAAGCCTACCCGAAGGACTAAATATCTACAACAGGTACATCACTGAACTCTTTCGCGAGAGGAGTGTAACGGGAACGGTAGGAGTTTAACGGGACGCGAAACCGTACCCGGTGGACCTCCTCATTTTCAGAAATGACAGAGTTTTGGCCATCAATGGCGCTAGTTTGGGTTTCTTTGGAGCCGCTGAAGCGGGGGCTCTGACTGGCTCGGTGGCTGCTGCGGCAGCGGCATGCGAAGCAATTTTCCGTGCTTGCGATGGTTGCGCTTTGTTTCCCACGAACGTGCCGTTTTTCAGCTGAGCTCTCTGCACGTTCAATGGAGCTTTGGCCATCGAGTCGACGTAGGCGAGCTTTGTGGTTCTGACAGGAGCTTGCTTCTCACGCATGGATTGGCTAATCGATGCTGTCAGACTTCTCAGTTTCTGTTCACGTTCATCGTGACATCTGAGGTAGAGTTCCTTCCAAGACTCCTCGCCGGGCTGACGGGTTTTGCTCCTGAAATCCTTCCGACAGTGGGCTTCCCATAGCGCATCGGTGTCCTCGCTGAGATAGGGGTTGAAATACTCCAATCGGTAGAGCTGTTGTCCATTGCAGCGCTCGAGTACCGGCTTCAAAATATCATAGGGTACACCACCGGTTTCCTCTATGCAGTCCACATGGTCCATGAGAACCCTGATGCACGCGTCAAACAGGCTTGGGACCGACGTCAGCGTGACATTTCGTCTTCCTGAATAAATTGCGGTTCGATCTCTCCGGGACGAAGTGAACTGAGCGGCCTCGTCGATCGGACGCTTCGCAGCCACGACGGGAGCTTTCGGCTCGATTCTGGGCAAGGGTTTGTAATCCACCGCGGGCCGGGACTCGATCATTTTTTTATCAACGAGGTCTGGCAACCTCGGTCCTTTCGGTTGGCCGCTCGAGCCGTTCAAAGTCGAGGACGTGACCTGGAAATTGAGGAGAGTTCCCGTCAGCACCCTGATCGGAGCGAAGGATGAATCGATCGGATCGAATCTAGGAATGATCCAAAATGAACAAGAGAGGCTCTGTCTCGTATCTGCTCTAGCGAGGGAACTTACCGTCATCTTCGGGGACGAAGAGGTCTTCAACCTTCTCTTCTTCTTCAGGTTCTTGGGCTCGATGGTGCCGAGACACTCTTCGAACGAGCCAAAGTTCGCCCCCATCCCCCCGTCAACCGGGAACTCTTCTGGTGCTTTCCGCTTGGTCGCTTGTGGGGCTCTTGTGGAGTCAGCGGGAGTCTTCTTCGACTCGGGGGTCGGATTCGGAGGCTCAACCGGCTGGCTTTCGCTGCCCGAATCGGACGAGCTGGATGATGCCGGAGATGGAAGAGAAGTCTCTTTTTTCTCAGATTTCTTACTCTTGTGATGACGAGCATCGTCATGGTGGTCGGAGGGCTTTTTGTGGGACGACTTGCTGTTCGAAGCTTCCTGCTTCTTGGGCTTCGTAGAGGCTTTCTTGTTCACGACAGACAGGTCCGAGAAGAGCGCCGGCTCTTCGACCTTGCCACCCGAGCGATCCTTAGTGACTTTCTCAATCCTTCGGTGAGACGAGGAAGAACTTTCCTTGTGCTTCTTGGACTCGCGATGATGATGATTATGATGCGACTCCTTTTTTACTTCGCTCTTGTGGTGACTGCTGCCATTGCTGTTATTGTTGTTGTCCTCCTCGTGTTCCTGCTCGGCTTCGCGGTCGACCACGTTACGCCACTTTTTTATGAGATCGGCAGCCATGTCTCCAGTCTTGCCACCACGGTGTTTGATGCCGTTCACGACTTTACCTGAGAATCGAAGACAATGTTAGCGAACTCGAGCTCTTGCCGAATATGACCAATTAGAAGAGCGCTCTCCGTCCGCTGAGCGACTCCTCCTCGAACTGAGAGCAGCGACCACCCTGGCTGCTCTTGCGGTGACTTCCGAAAGAGATTTCATACACTCACCGATTCCAGTTTTTTGCAGAATGTCCACAGTGACCTCCATCTTGTTGAGTTTATACAGGGTGTCCTTCAAAACAGCCCTGTCTTCGGAATGTTTTTCGAGGCGACGACAGTACTCCTTTATTTTGTCGACCGACATGATGAGCCTGCGAAACTCGAGCTCGGTTCGGCCAAGACAATCTGATACACACAGCGAAACTGAGGTTGTCGCCTCACCACAGGAACTTTGAGGCTCCTCACTCGGTGCTTGAGGCGACCAGCGAGTTTGAGGCAGATCTACACGATCCGGTAGAGATGGGGAACGTGTTTTAGCATTGCATCAACTCAGTGTCATCTGGAAGAGCAGGGAACAACATCTGATTACGACGTGACGTCACATATTTTGAAACAACTCCGCCGGAAGTGTATTCCAAAGTTCACGAGGTAGATCCGATCGCGTTCATGAACACCCTTAGCGAATCATCGAGACACTCACCTGAATCTCAGCAGCCGGAAGCTGCCGTACGAACACCAACGGGAGTCAGCAGCTTCACGGTCGGACGTTGGCTCAAGTATGTTCTCGGCTCTCGACCAAGCTGCTTGTTTACATGTTCAGGCGGTCGTCGGCAAGGGGAGAGAGGAAGGAGGGCAGCGCGGAAGAGATTGAACAGCGACTCGAAACCATTAGATTTCTTGATGGGGTCGTGAGTAATCACGGAATTCGGAATTCAGATCGAATTCTCATATAGGCGGAGATTCGGAGAGGGCGGTCAGCAATCAGGTACAGCCCGGTGTGCGAGCTCGTGGCCACCGCGAAATATCGCAAGGGTGCTAGGAAATTCCACACGCATTCGAATCCTTTGGAATCTGCTTCTCTGAGATTGTTCAACTCTGACGATCTTGACTATCAATGACGAAGATTTTTCAATTACTCATCCCGAGGGGGACTCAACTGATGTCCGAGAGGGCTTCATCGTTGAATCGTTGTGTGTCGACCATTTCGGCCATGGCTGAGAGCGTAAGATTTAGACGATTCACTTCAGACAAGCTCACGAAACTCGCGAAATTTTGGGAGAATCTCTGGCAATCGGCGCGAGATCGAGAAAGTCTTTGGAGAAAGAACGATACTCATACGAGATAAGACCGCGCATAACGCACCGCCTCAGCGTATGATTCGTTGATATCTGCGAGTCGTCTCAGTCATTACTAGATGAAACGTAATTTCCGCGAACCGAAATCCAACGCAGCGGAGGTCAGAGTCCCTCCCCCAGCTCCTTGGACTCGGGTTTTCCCGAGCGAGACCGCGAGAGAAACCGCACACGAATACGAATGAGCATCTGTGTGGGCTAGCCGGTTCATGAACAAAGCGTATGAAAACATTCCTAGGTCGTTGGATTGCGAGCGATAGATTCCCGCGCTTTCGATCAGCTCCGGCAAACAGGAGCCAATGAAGCTTGGCAGCGATCTCAGATGACAGCTGCATGAAGGTTAGGATCGATAGTAGGTAGTTGGCTTCGATAGGATGTCTATCGTCAACCCCACCGAACAGCTGACGAGTCGCCGCACTGCTTTGGCCGGGCTTTTTTGACAAGTTTTCCCAATGTGATTCACTGCGGGGTTCCCCCTGTATCTCATCCGATATTCCTCTCTGTCCCAGGGTTGATATATTGCGTGCAGGCTGAGCCGAAAACCCGTATCAACATGAATAGCCGGCTGCTGCTCGTGGTCCTATTATGCGGCATAAGTCGGAGGTCCAGCGCAGATGAGACATTCATCGAGGAATTATTCGTGAAGCCCCTGCCATCTGGCCATCTGTACTCGTTCTTCAGTTTCACAACTACCTTGAACAATCCGGCGGAAAACATGAGATTCTATCGGTAATATTTCCCAGTCCGACGTCTCTCGGTCCAGATTCATCTGTCAGAAAGGGGCCAACTCTTCTGAGTGTCGTCGAAACAAGAAGTCGAAAAACGGTCTTATCCGATCTAACCTAACTCGATTTCAGTCTCCTTCCGTCCACTATCGGCGATCTACTACAGATAAATTCCGTGGACGAGTTTCATTTGTCACTGACTCAGGGGAAATGGTCCCATGAGCAGTACGGCTACCCCATAAAGGACAGACCGGCCGGTGCTGTACTGTGGGCCTGGTTCAAGGAAAACCCCGATTTGAATTGGAAGAAATTCGCTTCGGCTCTCGGTAACTGAGATCATGATCGCTCGTAATACAGGATTTGAGGGGCGAATCGACTCGATCGCCTTTATTAACCTTGACTCTACGACTTAGGTGGTGTCACTTGCTCATCCTTGAATTTCATAGACGACACGATTACGGTCGTGCCGAAATATGTGTTCCGCCCCGAAGGTCACATACAGAATCTAAATGACACGAATCTCAAGTACGCCATGTTACCCGGTGAAGCTGTGTGTACCGAGAACCTGACACCATGGCTCAAATTCCTGCCGTGCTCTAATGCAGGTGATGCTTTGAAGGGTTCATCCAGGATAGAAGTCATCGTTGTCACTCTCGAATTGAATAAACGATACGATTTCTCCCCTCCTCCTAGGACTTTCGCAGCTACTTCGGGCGACGTCGATCTTCTCCACTCACTACATCTCGATTGGACTAGACGTCAAAAAGTTATGCCTAGACCAATCCTGTCTGCAGGTAGGTCTCAACATCAAACCCACCTACCTATGTCGGTGACCACGGTCAACCTTCGAGAGAAACAGACTCACTTCAACTCTGCCCTTGCAGACGCAGTTACTGCTCCAGCAGCACGTTAGCATTGTATTCGACGCGACCATCGCTACCGGAAAACAAGAATGGAGTTTCATCAAGTTGTTCGGAAAAACCATTTCCTCGGTGTGTCCGCTCGCGGCACGGACCTCAGTCATTGTCGAAACCACGGATAACGGAGTCTGTTCCAAATTCGCGCTCGCTCCTGAACCACACCGACTGGAAGAGAATGGGGATGCTTCGTTCGCTATATACGACGTGAAACGCCTTCTCACGAACAGCGATCATGTCAATATCGTGGCTAACCCTGAGAAGAGCCACACGTATTGGACCATCAAGCCCCCTCCGCTTACCATCAATAGATACGTGCAGGGTGAGACGCACTGGAGGATCGTGCTCGATCTTTCGGGAAAAACTCCTTCCCTGCCCTCGACCGAATGCCATTTAGCATTGCGTATCGCGGTTCTCAAGAGGGGTTTCTTCTCGGCAGGCTATGGATTGGAGAGTGGAGGAGTTCGCACAGTAATTGTGAACAGCGCTCAGAAGGCTTTGAATGTCACTTACTTGGAAGTTATACCTTGGTAAGTTCCTTCGCCCTTTTATCCGGCCATATGCAAGACCTTCTGTGAGACGGTTTTGGAGCGATTGCTCCCCCGGAATGCTGCGATTGACCGACATGAATGACAGATCTTTCTTCTCGGGAAGAATCACTTCCATAAGCTCCGAATCACTCTCTCCTCCGAATGCTGTCGGGTGGATCGAGCGCCATCCCCTCGGTGACCTCATGTCCCCTTCGCAGGTACCTCAGAGTCTATGTGCACACTTTGAGGATTACGAGCAACGGAAAGCAAGTTTTTCCTAATCGCATCGTTTTCCAACCCTCGTTAGACCGGTGAGCAAGAACAATACAGCATACGTAGCACGGAGATTAATATATGAGTTTCGCGACGAAATCGACCACTGCAAGGAGAAGGGACCGTATAACGCTTCCATTCTGTGTCCAGGGAAAAACCGTGCCATCTGGAAATCGGATTGAATCTCGCAGCGCGGTCTAAAACGGAACTGTCCTTCTCCTTCGAACGTGCCTTCCTGGCCTGGGTAGAGTACCCCCCGGACCCTCACCTGGGATTTTACGTCGGTGCCGCATCTCTGACTCTGTCTGTCCCTCGTGAAGGTCTCGCGAACTTCACCGGAGACCTCTCAACGTCAGGGAACCTGGAAGAGGCTCTCCTGGGGTCTCACACATCGCAGCATCGATCTCTTGTATTGTTCACTGAGATACTGCTCGTTACCTTGCCGACACCAGACTTCAGCATGCCCTACAACGTTATTTGTTTCGTATGCACCGCCATAGCTCTCGCCTTCGGTCCTATCTACAACGTCACGACGAAAAACCTCACTCTACAGGATAAAAACCAGAAGAAGGGTTTATTACACACGATCGTCCAAAAGTTGAAGGGAGTTTCTGTCAGAAAATTGAAAAAAGAGTGAATACGATGGCTCTCCGCCCGGTGCGGGAGTTTCATCGGCTTGCGCGGATGAGCTGATGCGAGTTACAATGTATCCGCTGGATATCGGGCGCAACTCTCGATTCCTCGGTCATCACAAGCGATCTGTTGATCGAGTCCGAGCTCTGTTGATCGTCAGAACTCAAGGTCCCACCAATAGCTTGGATCGGACAACATCTACCGTCGCGAGGAACCCGTGGAACGTAGAAGACAGTCGGCCGTGCTGTCATCTGAGCTCTGATTCCCACTGCCAAAGAAGAGAGCGTTGGGGGGGCGCACATCGATTGTTGTTCTGCCGGAACAACCGAGCTTGTAAATAAACGTCGAATGATACCTTCGCCTCCCGAAATTATTTTTCTGTTCTCAGCGCAGCGGAGGGCGGAAGTCCCATTCAGTACCAGCCCTCGGTAGAATGGTTCTTTGCCCTCCGAATACCGCTGGGGATGCGTTTGGGCTTCGTTCGAATAATACGGTGACATTCAGGATCGATAGGAATGCCCGTCGTCCCCGGGAGCCCCTAGCGGAGGTCTTCAGGGAAGAGTATGACGCAAAAAAGAGCGTCCGCTCAAGTCCTCTTTGAGCAAAATCAGATCTAAATTTTCCATGAGGCCTTCCACTAGAAAGCGGGCCATCGAGACCGAACTTAAGATGCTTGTCGCGCAGGTCTCTGACATGCGCTGCCTTCAAAGCTCGCCCGTCGTCCATTCGCGAATCACGACTCGCTCCCACCAGCCGTGAATTTATTCATCAATCCATACAGGAAACGAAGTGCACTTCGCACACACACCCTTGACATCCCGAGCCCCACCTGTCGCCTGGACCTGTTATTGAAGCCTGACGGAAAAGATGGCCGCTCGACATTCATACGAGAATGCGCCCCCTCAGGAAAAAGCCGAGACCGAAAATGCTCCTCCTGAGGCGAAGAATCGCGAGCCTTCCTACGAGAATGCTCCTCCCGCGAAGACTCCAGAGGTCTCTAAGGATAATGCTCCGCCGAAAAGTATGACCGAGGACACCAAAACGGATGTCAAGAAGAGTGATCCTCAGAGCAAAAGTTCTGCAAAGTCGGCGACGGACCGCCAGCCGATGCCTGAAGCCAAAGGAGCGGAACAATCCGCTTGCCCGTGCTGTTCCATCGCTTGACGAGGCTCCACGTTCAGAGTGGAAATAAAAATCATCGATAAGTTTAGAATATACGGACTTTATTTCAAAGACAGCGCTCTGCGAGCCCACGCGGCAAGGTGCATGCAGAGCGGGTGAGTAACGGAAGGTCGTACGAGAGGGCCCCGGAAGCTAGGAGAGACAGTTTCACGCGCTCAATCGCGTCCAATTCCAACGGTGAGACCACCGTTCGGCTGTCCGTTCAGACTCCTCGAAAATAGGCTTGACAAGCTGGTATTGGAGTGAGGGTGCCAGGTTCGGTCCCAAGCAGATGCCCTCGTGGTCTCTGCTCACCCGCTCGGGATAGCCGTCCGAGCTCGTTTGTAGAATGAAAATGATTCCACGCATCCTAGAGCCTGTGCTCGCCTCTGCATGTTCCCGACCCGCTCCTCGAGCTTCTTGTCCTCCTGTACCGTGTCAGAAGAATGGGAAGCCGATTCTACACGCTTCTGATGCTAGAGGACGAGCTCTCTCATCCAATTCATTCCCGTCGGAAAAGTCGATCGTTGTGACTGATCCGGTCGCTAAGCGACCTGAGCGGGAACCCAAGCTCGCAGTTCCGGGCTCGTGGGCTTTTGTTCGGAGTTTCAACGGAATGCCTCGATCCATCCCATCGACAGCATCTGATCCTAATAAACCATTGAAGGTTATTCTGCATGATGAGCATGGTGCTTGAGAGCTTGTCTCCGTCACGCTGCTCCTAATCGCCAATATTTGGCCACTCCCTGATCGGAAACTGTGCTTGAAGCGCGCTAATTAGTTACCTCCACCAGAGCTCGGATTTAACGTTTAGATTAGCATGAAATCAATTTCAGGGCGATCTTTATTCGATTCTCCTTCTAAGGCTCTTTCGGGACGTCCTCAGATGGCGCTAAGTCGTCGTTGCGAGGCAGCGTGTCTATTATCCCGAGAACGGAACGCTCCAGGATCGCTTCTTGATTGCTGGAATCGGCTCCGCGTAGAGAATCAGATGGATGGAGAGAATTATCCGCCGATGTGCTATCGTTTCCGGATCCGGGCCCCGAGGCGATGTTCACAAACAAGCGCCTCACTCCGGCCGGGAGGGCGGTCCATTGGAGAGCATCGCTCCGAGCGATCAGGGACAGAACGACGATAAGGATTCCGGTCGTCAGGAGTTTCATTTTGAAGTTCTGGTGCGATGGGGATCGGTCGGGTACAAAATGTCTGCGGTTTCGCGGGTCTCGTGCTTCGAGAGGAGTCACCGAAATTCACGGATACGGTTTCCTGATCGCATGGATCGGAGCAATTCGAGAGCTGCACTGAAGTCGATGGGCTGATCATTGAGCAGCCTCCCGCTTTTAAAGATGCGCTGATGGCTGATCTGGTTGACCCTCTCTAGGATCCCGCTCGCCCAACGAAACCCGGGTAGAGCATTCCTCACATCCGGAACGCTGTCCTCGGCGATCCGTTGTGCTCCGAGCCTCGGTATATGTAAGTAACCAACTTGATTGAAAGAAAGAGATACACACCCCAGGTTCCTTGCCTTCCCCCCATGATTATGCGAATTCTCAGTCGACCCTCGGCACATCTTTTGTATTCAGTTAGAGCTAGGGAAGCCCGCCGTATTTCTGGAGACAGACCGTGGGCCGAGAGCCGCCGAATCGAGGGAGGGAGCCCGCTTCTTCGAATTTCCTTTCCCCGGCCCCCGATATTGCACGGCCAGTGTGAGTCTTTGCCATTTTCAGCGCGGATTCTGTGTCATCCCGGCGAGAACTTATCGCGGGAACTAACTGCAAGAGCTCCAAAAGAGCTTTCGATGGAAGTCGAAGGTTATGCGCGCCAGCGATCGTCCCGTTCGAAGAATTCCCGATGAATTTGACCACCCCCGCCTATCCCAATGCAGTCTGACTGAGGTACATGACGAAACCCGAGGGCTCCGCTGTCCAAAGACGATCCATGATCCAGGAAGCGACACAGGAGTTCGAGAACGCGATTGGGAGACCTCTCCGCGAGAGAAACATCCTAGAAAATACCAAAAAGTCTCTCGTTCTGAGAGACTAGGGTTTTGAACATGAGACCCCCGCGCAAAGCGCGTGAGGGAGAGGGAGGAGAGTTCCCCGATCCCACGAGCCGTCCTCGGAGATTGAGAGACTCAAAAATTCGATCTGGAATTTCGATGATAGGCTCAACGCGGCGCTTCGGAAGGTTGTGATATCCTTCTTTCCTTGGGGTCATCTTGGAGCAAGATTTTTTCAGTGGCGCCGCAAAACTCATGGCCCACGAAGTTAAGTTCGTATGCATAGTATTTCGATGCGCTTCCCTCAATTTCGCTGTTCGAAGAGCACGGACCGAAGCACGTCGAGGAGGACGCGAAAGCTCTTCGGGTCTTGAGAAGGGGACGCGACACATCGCGCGGCTCCCCGGAATGCAATGATTCGATATTCCGTTTCCTACATCAGGAAATATTATTTTCTCGATTTCTACGCTCCGGCGCTCTTCTTTTGGTGGATCCTCCACTCGAGCCACTTGCTCGAGCCACTCGATTGGGAGCCCTCGCCTCGTCGCCTCCTGGGGATTGAACCCGTGCTTCGGGCGCTATCCTTAACCAAAGCTTGGTGCAAGTATTGAGATTCTCCTTGAAACTCTATTTGAAGTCTGAGTCTCCTGTCTCACGGAGGCATACAGAAAACAATCGGGGCCGGCTGTTGGAACTTATATCAACGCAATGATTAGATAGAGACTCACGCCGAATCGCGAAATTCATGTACAGATAATATGACTGCCAGTGATAGTCCAATTTTAATCCGACCAGCCTGTCCCAGCAAGTTAGAGCGCGGAATCGGTCCAAAACGGCTTAGTAAACGAATGAGACGGTCATCAGAGTCATATCGTGATTGAGGTTATTCATGGTGAGGAGTTGTCGCTGTTCGTCATAGACGAAATCGATGAATTCAGCTCGATCGATGAAAATCTCCTTTGGCTGAGATTTGATTCCGTAGACGTGAACCTCGTCCAGGTTGTAGAAGGATTTCATCTGACTCCGGTTGCTAACGACTAGAATATCTTTGGTAGCCATCGCGTGAACGACATCGAATTCCCCACTGGTGATGGAATCGATGCTCTCCCCATCATCCAGGAATACTCGTCCCGAAGCGACTCCGTCGTCGAGAAACACGTATAGACCGAAAGGACTCTTACGCGAGTCCGTTGTCGTGTTCCCGGGCTCTTGGAAGAAGACGGCGTTCCCTCCCTTCATGAAGAAATGGATATAGTCCATATCGGCCGGGAGGTCAACGTATTTCCCTCCTGACGTCGCATCAACCGTCCCGGTCCTATTCTGGAGATCGTACCAAATTCCTTTCGGGAAGTAGCCAGTGATTATTTTCTGATTCTCGAACAGGGCCGGGACTACCATCAGAGCTCTTCCCCACATGAATTGACGATCGTTGTCATACGTCTTCGGGTCCTCGGGATATTCGAAGAACAAGGGTCTTGCCACCGTCTCTCCGTCCATGTGAGCTCCGTAGAACAAGGTGTAGAGGTAAGGGAGGAGTTTATAGCGCCAGTAGAAAGCGTTCCGAGTCGGTTTCAGAACCGTCTCGCCCAACGCGGCTGGGTCCTGGTCTTTGGCCTGAATGTTGTTGTGGTTTCTGGAAAACGGATAGAATGCTCCCAAGGCTTGCCATCTAGCGCAGAGCTCCGTTGTTGTGTCTTGCAAGAAGCCGCAGATATCCGCTCCGACCATTGGTATTCCGTAGAATGAGAAATCAAGGATTCCGGAAATCGAATCCTTCAAATTCCCCCAGTTTGAATAGATGTCTCCTGTCCAGTGTCCAGAATAGAACCCTTGACCGGAGAATGTGGATCGCGAAATGATGAACGGTCGCTTGTTCGGGGCCACCGCCGTAAGTGCTTTGTACGTCGAGATGGCTTCAGCGTAAGCGTAGAGGTTGTGTACATTATAATGGGAAGACAGATGATGCACATCACTGGTGCAGATCGTCCTCTTGTGTAGGTAAACATCTCCGGGCACATAAGGCATGTCCTGATCCGAACGGCACGAGTTGTCGTCATTGTGACCATCAATTCCGTTCGAAGGCTCATTCATGTCCTGAAATGAGACGTGGGTTGGACACGAGAAACATCAGATGCGTTCGGCTCTGAATTCAGGATTCTCGAAACCCAAAATCGAAGAACACCGCAACGAATTCCATATTCATCTTCCACTCACAATCCAAGCCCCGTCATAGGCCACCCTTTTGTGGAAGTCCCGGAACAGCTCCGTCCAATATATTGTGGCGTTCGGATGGGTGAAGTCGGGGAAAACGCTGGTGCCCAAATTCCAAACTCTACCTTCGACGATTCGTCCCTTGGCAGTCTTAACGAACACGTTCTGCTCAAGTCCTCGGTCATACGGCGGATATGAGCCGGGCGTCTCGCTACCGCTCACGGCGGGGTCCTGTAATCAGAGAGGCATTTCCAGTTCCCTAGGATAAGTACCTATTAACTGTCTTATATTGCGAAAACCTGATGGAGGATCAGTCTGAAGCTCGGCGGGGCCCGGCTCCGAGAAACTAACCACTATCATGACATAGTGACGTCCGTCCTTGTGTAACTCGTCAGCGAGCTTGCCTAGGTCGCTATAATTCTCGGGATCGAGCGTGAACCCGTTGAATTTGTCCATGTAGTCGATATCATTCCATTGCACGTCCTGTGAAGTCAGAGGTTTGGAAGATGGAGATACGTGGGATTTTTGCCTCTCGCGGGCGATAGATCTCGTCGATAAGAATCGGGATATTGAATGTTTCGTCATCAGACTTCGGACCGGGATTCCAGTTCATGACGGATGAAACTCACGATTCGAACGCCAGCATCGAGATTCCGTTGCAAGGTTCGTCTCGTGTCTTCGGTGCTCTTGTAGCCGTAACGGCAGAGATGGAATCCCAGTGACCAGTAGGGAATCATTTTCGGTCTACCGACGATATCTTGATACTGCTTCACAACGTCAGCAGGGCTGGGACCGGCGAAAATGAAGAAGTCGAGCACCCCCCCGGTCGGCCGGTAAGTGATGGCAGGAGCGGGTTGAAGAAGAATATCCATCGCGTTCGAGTTTAATAACCACATTCCATTTGCACGGCCATCGCTCTCGAGATTGATGTAGAATGGCTGCGTTCCGTAGAGTCGTTTGTTCTCGACAGGGGGTTGATCCTCGTTGTAAAATGTGAAGCGGCTGTAATCCATGCTCCGCCGAAGCGAGCCATGATGTTCACCGAGGCCATACACCACATTAGAAGGCAGGAGGCTGGTGACTTGGATGAATCGATCCGTGTAGATCATCGTCCCGAGGTTCAGGCTCACCCTTTAATAGGGGGAAGACTTTTAAGGGAGTCGGAATTCTCGTAGTCCATCGAAACTGAACGAACCGATTCTTCTTTTGACCGATGAAGCCCAGGCTACCGAAACTTACAGCTTCACCTTGTGATTGTCACCCTGGTCCCCATCGAAACGTCTCACTTCCAGCCGACTGTCTTGAGTGATTTCGAAATCGAAAATCGGCGAATCAATACGAGAACTTGGCGGTGGAATTGCCGGATATGGTGGCTCCCATCTCTGATTGTGGGGATCGACTATACGAATTCGCACAATCTGATTCGAGTAGCTCCGAACTTCAACGCGGAGCACTCCAATATCCTGGGCGGAATGGGAGGGTTGCTGTCTCTGTAGGTAGACAGTTGCTCCATGGCGATCTTGAGTCTGGTTGCTGATGACGTAGCCGCTGTAATCTCGCGGATAGAAGCAGTACGGGAAATTTACATGGGGATCTGGAAAAATAAGATCAGAGGTAAGGAATATGACGAGCCTGCGAGGAGATTGTAATGAAGTCGTAGATCACCGAATCCAGTATGCGATCACGAGTTACGAGTGTCATGTTTCGGTAGACGGAACTTTTTCGAACCTCCGTCTTGTCTCGTTTTCCAACAGCAACCACGTTCGTGGCATCGCTGCTCGTTACTGTTTCTCTCAGGCAAGCAATCGATTCGCTCGATTGCATTTTGGATGTCGCACTGGAGGGCCGACGTCAAGGCCAGGAAACCCGCAGCGAGAAGGACCGACCTCATATTGTCGAGCGCGGAAGCAATCACTGTAGACGCTCTTTCCGATTCGACGTATTTTATGGCGGTTAATCCTCGCGTGAGAGAGCCGTTGTCGTCATCGAGCTTCCCGCTTTGATTTCGGTGCTGTCTGCGGTGATCGTTCCCGTGCCTCTGAAAGGAATTCCGGAGATTAAGCTTGAGTTACAATGAGCTTCTAAGATTAGCGCGGACGGCAATTCGTACCCGCTTCCTTCTCGAATGATCACCCGAACCTAATGGAATTTTCGTGATCCAAAGCCTAGTGTCGCGTTTCCGGTGTGTTCTATCCAGCATGGAGAGGGGGAGAGCTCAAAATCCCTAAACTCGCTCTCGGTCAAGTCCCATGATTGATCTTTGAACACTCCTTGAGATGAAGAGGCGCTGGGGACGCAAGGATAGAAAAACCGCCTTTCCTCCAACTGAAGGGTAGGCCCAACTATTCTCCTACACTTGCAAGGGGCGCCCTCCGATTGGGGCACGCTCTTCAATTTTTCAAACCAGCGTCGAGAAGCGAAGACTCGCTTCGAGATCAGTCGAGCAATAGCGGAAAAGCCTCAGTCTCATCGGGTGTTTGGCGATGAAGAGTGATTACGTGCTCCATCGATGTACTCCTTCGAGTTATATTCTCTATAATGTTTTTTTCATTCCGTATCGTGGGATGCCCTTCGATGGGAGCTTGCCCTTAAATACTTCGATGCCCCTAGAAGGCATGCCGTCATAATAGAGAAAACGGGAATGCCCGAATAACTGGAGGAAATACGCTGCTCCATGCAACAGACTCCTCCAACGCGTCTTGATCATCACTCGCGTCCTATCTGGATGCTATTTTAAAACGCAAATGATTTCTCGCCCGGAAGACGGTCGATTGATCCTGGACAGGTAGATGAGTATTCGACTCGCACTTTTCTTCCCCGTAATCCTCAGATTGTCCCTCCGCCTGATCGCTGGTTTAGGAAACGATTTCATGAGGCAATTATGCATCGCTCGACAGACGAAGGCTTATTTTTTCGGAACTCTGTTGACCGATCATTGGGGAAGGGTCACTCAAGTCAAACGGATCCCACTCCCCCTTCCCCCCTTCAGGATTTCAAGCTGAAATCTAGGCATGGAATTCCCCTGATTCAAGAATGGGGGAATGCTCGATAACTAAATCGGTCTTGTCTCGGGTGCTTTTACCGGTGCTTTTCCCACAGCGCACACCACCAGTATCAAAATGGACGGAATTCTCATGAAAATACGCTGGGAGCATCGGAACTCGAGATCGAGCGCGAAGTTTTACATGAGTCCGCAGCTTTTGGTCCGATGCGGAAAACGACCGATCCTCCCCGTTGAAGGGAGCAGTCTCACTCAGCCCCCGGAATGCAGTAGAAGTATAAGTTGAGGAGTTTCCTTTCATATATAAATTAGAGATGTCCTTATGACAGAGATATAATTTATTATACATATACATCTTTCAATTTCAGCTGAATGTCCTCCGTCATTTCTCGCAAATGAGTATTCGGAGCTCTGATGAAATATTGGCCCCTGAGTAATCCTCTGGGAGTCTCGGGACTGACTTCGCTACTGCTGCTGAATCTCGTCTCCTTGATGTCTCCGAGATTCATCCTGAGCATCTCTGAATCCGTGCCCGGAGAAGACCAATCTCTTCTTCCCGATGACGGAGAGCCCTCTTCCGGTGAGCCCTCTGAAGCAGCATTCGAGCCCGTCGCTAGATCTCCTTTCACGATAGAGATTTCCTTTTTGGGAACCCTGCCGTTGGGTCTCCTCGATTCGATTTGATTCGAATGGATCTCGGGTAATATACCGGTGATCACTTTCGGGGAAGGGAGGTCGAGGATCCGAACTGGAGCACTCCCCGAGATTCCCGAGGCGCGCTTCGGTGAAACGGCGATACCGATCGGATTATGAGTAATTTCGGCAGGAACTTCGCCCACCAGATCGATTTGTGCTGAGGCGATCGGAGCCGGAGACCCACCGATTTCGGAATGGCTCGATGCGGTTCCTTTCTCCGAAATCCGGGAAGCGACATTCGTGGAAGCGGTCGCTACTTCGTCGACGACAGGGCTCAGTTCCGGGAAGGCAGTGCTGTTCGGAATCTCTTCTTCGCTTTGATTCGATCGAATTTCAAGTAGGTCACCGACAATCACTTCCGGAGGTGGAACGGCGATGACCCGAGCGGAAGCATCCTCGAGGATTCCCGTGTCCGTTTTCGGTGACTCGGAGGCTTCGAGTGGGTTTTCCGTAATTTCTGCCGAATCATCGCACGGCGGATTGACTGATATCGGAGAGACCGCACTCGCATCTCCATCGATAAGAACGACAGGCTCGATCAGAGCTCCTTTCTCGCTCCGATTGGACTGGAGCCCGGGTTGGTCATCAACAACCACGGCTTCATTGACAATGCGGACAGGAACATTCTCTCGAGCTTCCGTGACGTTGTTTGGTGGAACGACGGGATCGTCCGGGTTATCCGTGACATGCGCAAGATCCTCGGTGCTTGGGATGCTTGGTCTCACGATTATGGTGGTCGGTCTCACGATTGCAATAGAAGGTCTGACGATCGTAATCGTTGGCCTTGGGCGTCTGAAGATAGAGACCAATCTCATGCTCTCAGAGATTATCTTCCAGTTGAATGATTCACAAGGTGCCGTACCAAAGAGTACTACCACAACCACGACGAGGCTTCGGAGCTTCATTCTAGAGTTCTTGCGGTTTCTTCTCAGACTACCAGCTTCCAGCGACTGACTTCGGATCTGTATGCGCGGTTGGTTTTATGGAGCGCTGAGAACACCGATCTCTCTCACCATCGTGCTCCGCATAGCTGCGCCTCGGAAATGTCTCGCAGCCGAGCCCCGAGAGATTCCAAAGCCTCAAGAGACGGAAGGTGCAACCCATCTATTCGCATTCCCGAGAAAGTCCGGATCTCGGACCCGAGATCTTCCAAAGGGTGCATTCCGTGCATTCCAAATTCATACAGTTTTCTCACCCCGCTCCGAACCCTTATGAATTTCGGAATCGGAGCGGTTCGAAAACCCCCGGAGAATGACTCCAATGCTCTCGAATCCTTCTAGCAGCTGCCTCTCCACGAGGAGCCCAAATTCCTTTCTGGATGCTACAGATATGCATATGTGTGTTATGAATCTGTGTGCTACACTGCTCGGGTGAGTTCTCCGCAGCGAATCTCCCACGGTGTCTCCGGTTTGATCCGCGGTACTACCATCTGATTTGACTCAGCAGAACCGTCGAAGCCAGTGCCATTCTCAGGAGGATGCGGCATGAGGTTTCGTACAACGAGAGAGGTTCCTATCCTATCACCGGAGGCATTCGCGTTCAATTTCACGGATTGGGTCTTCGTCGCTTAGGTGATGGCGGTCGCGAGCTCATTCGACAAGCTGAGAAGGTATTCTCGAGGCAGGAGGGGGGAAACGAGACTCTTACCTCGCTTGGTCCGCGAAGTTGCAATCGTTTCAACAGGCCATTGGTGCGGGAGACTCTCGAAAATAGCTGCTTTTTCCTCTATCACTCAAACGAGACACAGAACACTGTCAGGAATGAGCGGATTCGTATTCTGTTTGGTGCGTTGGCTGAGAAGTTGACTTCCAATTCCGACGGAAAGTCGCTCGGAGCATGCGAGACTGGGATCGGTCACACGAGAATGAATGAGCCTCGTCTCCATTGTCGTGATTGAATGATACATTCGTTCCAGTTTCTTGCGTGTCCCCGGAGCGACCAGAAGCCGAACGACAAATCGAAGATCGTTTCGATTCGAGGTGGATTGAAATATTTTCATGACCTACGAGTCCAGCGAAAATTCATCAAGGACTCATGTCTCATACCAAGTGCAGACAAAGTCAGTATTCAGTTGGAGAGTGATACGTCCCTGAATTTTACGGCGATATCCGGCCGGAGTCGGGATTTATAGCGGAAGAACTCGTCGGCTCTACGCGGTCAAAGTCATGAACCTGCGCCGGACAAGCCAATAATGAGCCGGACCTGAGTTACCCTCTCGATGTTCCAGAATACAGACTTCCCCGCTCCCTGAAGTACCCTCTTGCATCTCGATGGTGATCAGGGTGCAGATGATACATTGCTCGGGGTTTGTACCCATCGAGCGAGGGGGAGAAACGAAGTTCGCGCTGTACTAAGTTCGAGAGCGGACAGAACATCACAAAACGAAGGTCTTCTGTGTCAATAAAGCGCTTCGATATTCTGCCCCCGTGATGGGCGACTCTTCCAAATATGGGCAGCCACGGAACTTACCAATCAAACTCTGCTCTCCACGATATGAATCCACTCCCTGATCGATTCTTGACTGAGTGCTCCACTTGAGCATAGAAGCTCCTTCTCGTGCTCGGGGCATTGCTCTTGAAGCACAGGCTACGCTCGGAGCGGAGCTCTACTTCTTCACGAACTCTGTCGAGAAGATTTAGTTCCTTGACGACGACTCCTTATACATATCAAAGAGGTGACAAAATGCGAATGGAACGTTCTGCAGGGATTTTCCTAATGCTACTGTACAATTTACACACAGTCCTCAGCATTTCTCAATCTGGGAAACCGTTCACATTGAGGACTGTCTTCGTGGAGTTCGTGCGTTTTTTCCGGGTTTCCAGTGTAACCCTGACTTTCATCTTGACGTTGAGAGGTGACCTGATCACGAAGTGAGTCAATTGCTTCGGTGGTTCTCGTTATCCATGTTCTCCCATAGATATGGGCCGACATGAGTGTTTCGCCTCGCTTCCTCCTGCTCTTTGCAGGTACGAGGAACTCTCGCGACGTGGACGGCGGAATCCCTCACGATTATTGAAAAACTTCAGGATCTACGTTTATGCAGGATTCTCATTGTCTTCTCTTCTACAAATAATAAGCAACGATCGACATTTGCAGGACAACCCGGAGAATTACCTCGCCTCACACTTCTACGGTCTTTCCGTCCGCGAGGAATCATTCTTCCGAAGCTCGAATGCCTTTAGGTTCTATGTCTTCGTGGATTATTTGTTGCTCTCGCTTCAAGAGCTGTATCTCTATAGAGTTATGTGCCTCTTCTGTGATCTCGCATTCAGATTGTCGGAAAATATCCGGGAGCTCCGGGGGGAAGTTTATTTCAGAAACGACTCGGTATTCTGCGACATCACCTCGACCCACCGATTGTGTCAGGGCATGAACATGGATTTCTCCGAATTGCTTGCGACTTGGTGTGCGGTGGCCATGATGACTGTCATCGGCTTCATTCAAACGTGCATCGAAGCCTTCCAGAGCGTCTCCCAAAGCGTTGTAGCTCGAGTTCTGGCTAGCCCTAGTACGCTCCTAGTGAGCATCTGGTTCTGCTTATTCTGCTGCGTGGCGAAGAAACCATATCAAGAAGCTTCGCTCTTCAGGGATGTACTCAACGAGCTCAACAGGAGAGCGCGGGTCGAGATCAGAGAGGAGATTCTGTACCTCAAGTTGATGTATCGGCTCTGCGACGGAGAACGATTCACCATCAAAGTGTGGCGAACGGTAGCCTTCAGCAATAACTTCTTGTCACGGACCTTTCCAAATATCCTCATGTTTGGAGTCACCCTCCACCAAGTCGCTAATGAAAAATCGAGGCTCGGCGGAGTGTAGTCCGTGACTGCGCCGTTAGAAGTCGCACCTCATGATGACACTTTGCCAAGCGCAATAAATTGTTTTGCTCGTTATGTTTCATCCATGTCATGACTTGACGTCGGATATTCGAGAGAATCTCCAGTCTCCCTCAGAAACTCGTGCATGAGAACTCGACGCCGTCAACCTCATGACAGACATCCCGATGCCGAGACACCTCGTCGATGCTACACAACCCTCATAAAGTTGTTGTTGGGGGCTGGCGTAGAAGCGGAGATCTGTAGGGAGCAATAGGAAGGGGCATATCTGGATCTCTTCCCCGTCCAGCTGACTCCTCTGTACATAGCAATATCGAGAGACTTGTCTCCCGCGGACGGGATCGTTCAGCTCTCGCAATCCCAGACATGGATCGACGCATAGTTATGCGCAGACGGGGATACGCCCGGACAGACTGAGTATCGATCGAGGTCGCATCCTCAAATTTACTGTCATCCATCGAATGCTGTATAGCTGGGCGGACGGTATTACTCCCCTGATCGACCGTAAGGAAAATTTACTCGTCGCCGCAGGCTGACTCGCGAAGCGAGCTGTCCCAGAAGCGCGATGTCGGCCCTTTCCGAAGTCGACCGTGTCCATAGGAAGGGACATCTGATCGTTGACATCATCGCGGATAACAATCAGAGGGAATTCTCCGCGCTTCGAATCTCTTGCAGCCACAGGATTCCTCCGAAAGTTGTCGCTCTCGACGCGTAGATGAACCATTCTTGCCCGCTCCTACCACATATGCCTGTACCGGCATGAGAAGGTGGAAAGTCTAGGTGCCATTTCCAAGCTGGGGGTCGACGCGTGGTCGAGGAATTCGACATGGATTTCTCCGAGGAGCGAAGAATGAGCCGAATCCACTGCAACGTCAGCTCCCACAGGAAGACTGATCTTCTTTATTTTTCTGGCGAATGCAAGCGGGTGCCATCTTGAGAACTTTGTCGGTTTTACCGGCGAAATGAAGTTTCCTGCGAGGGGCCGTGTCGGCCGTGGCTGCGGGACAATTCTCGATGCGGAAAGCCATGTGAGATCCCACGGTATCCTCGTATCGCCCCGCGTAGACGAAATCTCCTATCTGGAATTTGCAGGAAAATGACAAAGTCACGACAGGGGCGAGAATCGTGGATGAGAAGCGGGATCTTTTCATTGTACCCAGGAACGATGATTATGATCGGGCTGAAGGGTCACCTTGAATAAGGGCTTTTGACTGTCCGCATTGATGAAATCGAAGCGATCAACCGGAGTTTCCGCGGGAAAGTCGACAACCCCCTGGAGCTCGAGATATAGCTGTTTCTCATCGACCACTTCCCATTCTTCAGAGGAAGCAGAAGCCATTGTGAGCAGATGATGAGAACCGTAGCTGCCTCTAGACATTGACGGAATATGGAGTTTACGTATTACTTATTAAAGACCTTAGAACAAGGATTCCGCGGCCGCATTCGAAAACCTCTTGATATCGATATTTATCGACCGAGGATAAATCGAGAAAAACACTGTTCCCCCTCACCTCAGCAGTCGAATGCTCGCGATTGTATCTTCGTCTGACGGGTATCGAATAAAAAGGTAACTCCCGGGAATCGAGTCGTAGAGTTTGAATGTATTGATTAATGCGGACGTCGTATCCAAAATTTCGACTGGCGGCCCGTGAAACCGCTCAAGAGCTCACCTACAGCTGGCGCGCTGATGAGATGTAGTCTTCTGCCGAATCCGTCTGCTACGGCCATCAATAACGGAAATGCGCGCCAAAGCTTTGAAGGGAGCTCTCGAGTCATTCCGCTTAAATTCTGCAGTCTGCTGCGTTTATGGGCACTCCACGATGGAGTCCGCTCGGAAGTTTTCGGATTTTCTCCATCGAAAGATCATCAAGGTTCCATGAACGGAACCCGACGATACCATGGATCAGCACGGACGATTTTTCCTAGGAATGCAGTCACCCCCTGCTCCTGCTATTTTCATCCCTCGAACCTGGCGGAGACCGCATTCCCCATTCATCCGCACCCTCGTCTGATAGGGCAAGCATCGAGAGGTGTTCAAGGTGTTTCAAAAGTCTTCGTCGGGGTGGCTGTGAAACCCGAACAGTTCCTTGTCTCAGAGAGGTGCTATTCTAGATAGAGCCCCAACATGGACTTCCGATCGAAATGATCATCTCCTCCCCCTATGTATGCCTCTTGATGATTCCGACGGACATCAAAGAATGGTTCAGTGTCGTTATCTTCCAATTCACCCCCGAGGACTCGGAGCAGCAGTCCTCTGCGAACGGAATGCTCCATCATTGTAAACGATTTGCAAGGCTCCTCGCGCCCATGCGCATCGTAAGACAGACTGCGGCCAAGTCCCCGAAGATTCCCACATTCTATTCTGATTCAGAATCCCTCTCCGGAAGAAACGGACCTCGGGTACAGGAACAGTTTCGGCCGGACAGGTCAAGTCCTCAAGCACGAGTTTCTACGATAGATACGTATCTTTTATCTGGGTCTGATGAAGCGCAGGATATGGTGATCAAATGAAGGAGACACCCTTCATGAGACGAAAGAAAGATGCGCACCCCGAGCTCCAACCCCAGGGCCATACAAATCCTGTGAAGGTCTTCAGAAGGAGCTAATCTCATCACGAGGCTCCATCACCGCTCATTTTAAACCTTTTGGAGTCGAAGTTTGGAGAATGTGGGGAACCCTGACAACCTGGTGATGCTAACAGAGCGCAGACCACCCCCGAGCTCCGTCTCTCAAGTCTCAAGCCGCTGTCGTCTTGATGATCTCACTCGAGCGACTCCCTTGAGTCGCTGAGAGGGGCCCCTCTTATCGCGAGTTAATCTCCGTCTCCATACTCAGCTCTCGAGTTTAGCCAAGTCGATATACGAACCGGGTCACAAGCAAGCAAGCAGCGAGGACCTCTCTGAAGTTCCGTCGAGCTCGACGCGAGATCATCAAGTGATACCAGCGAAAGAATCTGCGCTCCGATTAAATAAATAGATATGGGGTTTATTCACACGACTCTTCGGTTAGTTTACAATGACTGGATAGACTTCGCCATCGTCGTGCAGGTAGACTGTGGGAGGGTAGGTGCTGTGTCTCCCGTATATGAAATCGCTGAGGGACATTTTCCTTACGACGTTGCCATCTTCCTCCGCTTCCGATTTCGAGGCGAGCCCGTCTGTCGACCCATCGGTAGGTCCGCGGAGCGATTCGTTGGGTTCAGCTGCGGTCTCTGAAGTTCTATCCGGAGTTGCGTCGGGAGAGTCTATCGAGATTTCGTCAGATTTCTGAAGAATGAGAGGGCTCTCATCCGTCGGGGCAGTGTCGATGGGCACCACTCGTCGGACCTGAAGCTCCTGGACTGGGGACTCGCCTTCGGCTCCCGGTTGAGATTGCACTTCATCCACAGTCTGAACGGCAGCATCCTCGATATTCAGTGACTCGTTAGCAGATGAATAAGGGACTTCGCTGAGGGCATCACCGATATCTATCACCTCCTCGCCCACACGGTGAGCTAGTGCATCGGGTGAACCGAACGGGTTCACATGACTCCAAATCCATCTGGCCTTCGCCGAAAGGATGCCGAAGAAAAATGCTTCTGTGTTTGCTGCCATCGAGAAGGCCATCAGGACAAAGAGAATGCTTTGGAACTTCATTTCGGCTGGCTAGTCTGTTCTGCTAGGATATTGTGAATAACCTCTTGAAGACCTCGCCGTTTTTATACCGAAGGTCCTCGCTCAATTCTATCGCGGACCTCTTTCAGTTCTATCGCATCCTGCTCGACTTGCTCGAAAAAGCCTAATTATGTGCACCTAGAGCGAATGTTCTTGTTTTCTCGCTCGATTTCTCAACTCGCATCGGTAGACGCAACAAGAGATGGGGAACGGACCCATGTGAAGCTGATGTGAAGCCGATCGTCTGGTGAGGTTTCTCTTCGCCATTGATCGTCCCGGGTCATTGGGTGGGGGCAGCTGCGACGACTCAACTTGTGCGATGGTTGATCATTCTACCCCGGGAATGCAGACTTAGTAGGGACGAAAAGTGCTGAGGTCGCTCGATACGCCGATTGTCTCCAATCAACTTCTGATCGATTCACACTCGATCATCAGAGGCAGTGGTTCTAGCGGTCGCTCATTTGAAGAAGCTCAGGGCTGATCGGGAGCGGCAGTTGTTCTTTTCTTCACGGGTTCCTCTTCTAACATTCACAGGAATGCAATGTCGAAATTAGTCGAGAGTTCAGACTCCGCGCGCGTGTCATTGACCAGGAGGGCTGCAGAAACCCACCGTGTCGGATCGCTCCGCAAACGCTTAACTTGACGAATTGAGTATCTGCGGATGAGCATCCTCTATTTCTCGGACAGTGATATTTTGATGACTGAAACTTTCATCGTGACTGCACGAATTTTCGCGCCTTCCCCGCGTTCCAGAACTCGGGAGTAAGAACCGAGGCGGGGAAGGCTGAATCCTCTGTGGTTGAAGCCGAATATGCGAGATTTGATTAATCAGCTCAAGCCGGCCAGGGTTACTGTTGAGATGCGAAGAGCCGTCGACTCTGGCAGTTTGGCATTGCCTTTCTTTCTGAACTCGAAATGAGATCCTCGGGAGGAGGGAGTCGCCTGCCCGCTCGTCTCCGCGAGCCTAGTCAATTATTTTCCCTAACTCGCGGAAAAGACATTCGGCGAACTCTCTGAGGAAGCAAAGCGTTCCCACGGCCACAGACTGAAATATGAAGGGTCTTGCGGGTTCTCTGTTCTTCGCAAGCTTGCTCGGTCAGCCTCACGAGAGGCAGGCTGCTGGCAGGACGACGCCGACGGGTCCCGGATCAAACGTTCGCCGGAGCTCCATGATGACGGAGCAATCCGGACGAGAAGCCGTGCTCCTCGAAAGACCCACGAATAGCTGATCGACAATGGGGCGCTTGGCGTGGAAGGTGACAGTTGGAGTCATCGGACGAAGATCTGGAAACATTTCTGGTGGATCCCGGGGACTGCAAACCCTCATCTGAAGTTTTCGGCCCAGAAAGCCACAAGTGAACTCGAATTCATGCATGGCGACTCATTGCTTATTCTCGAAGTCGGCACTCCCTCAGCTCCTCGAAACTATCACTGCAGACGTGAAGCTTGGCTCACTGGCGTTTACCCCGGGCATGTCGATTCCGGAACTGGGCTTTCGGATGTAGTATCTTTTTTCCCTCATCCCCTCGTAGACGTCATCGATTACTATAAATACGACAATCGCCGAACTCTCCTCTCAGATCATCGCGCGACGTCGCACCCGGAGAGCGTTGCCGGGAAGGTGCGGCGGGTCCGTGTGGTATGGGTGTTCTCGAGACAGAGAGATCGTCTGAAACGGCTCGATGTCTCTGGAGACTTCTCATTATACCGAAGCTTCGTCGAGTATGTCTATCCAGAATATTCTTCAGCGATGTTCTTACTAAGCCAGGACGAGGCAGCCACCTGAGGATCCATCGCGATCTTCATCGAGGATGAGAGGAGGGCTAAATCTCAGAGACTCAAATTCGCTGGCCTCACTCTCGCGATCGTGCGACAGTTTCCTTGCGGTCACGTTTCGGCAACCTCATAGTAGTGACCGGGAGCTTCGGGCTTGTCCCTCAGCGTCGATCACTCATTTCTTTGTGATTGCGAGGCATGCCTAATTCAAACGAGAGAGGAACAAAACCCGGAAGCAAAACTTTCCGCGACATACGTCGCATCTGACGCGTTGGGCCGAATCCTTCCGGACGCATGAAGGAATTATCATCTTGCGCGTTTGCCTTATCTAACGTCCTAGGACTGAACTTGCGTTTACATCTTCGAGCTGGGATTGTGCGCTCTCACCCGAGAACATTCTGTTTGGGCGCTCGAATCGGAGCCTGACTCCTGAGTTTCAGGGAAATTCCGGAATTGTGGGCCCGACTTCTTATTGACCCAAGGGTCTGATGAACGGTGCGCTGCCCGGATTCGGTCAGAATTCTGAGGTTGCGAGTTCCTCTGAATAATGGGGATCTGCGCTACGGGAAGTTAATTGTAGACCCATATAGAGGTGAATGTGAATCTTAATCAGGTCCGCTCGGAGAGGGGGAGCCTTCGTGGGGGCCGGTCAGATCTTGGTTCCCCAGGGAAATGCTTCGAGTACACCGGACTTCGATGGCACAAATGATTGAGATCTGGAAGGTTTTTTCCGACGCGCGGTCGAATCTTTATTTGAACCAAGAATGGACTAGGTACTCATGGGACATCTGGCTCTATCCGTTTGTTCAGCATTTTTCTCGTACGAAACCCACGTAGCACAGACCGCCGTACAAGAAGTGCCCGAACGATCCATTCGAAGTGCTGTTTGCCTTGGCAGGGGTTCCCGCGATCTTCGCGGTCGATGGCAAGTCAGGTATGAAGCGCTGATGATGCGGCGGTTTCCGCTCCTCGGTGGGCTTCCCATCGGATGCGCCAACTGAACTAGGTGCATGAAGGCTCCCATTTCGATTTCCTCCGTTTACAAGAGTTTCTGGAGTTGAGATTGCTTCTATGGAATCGTTCGTTCTGTTCGTGATAACGGTGCTTGCGTTCACTGTCGGGACGATAAGTATCCGCGGGTCAGTCTGATTCCCATCCAACTTATCGGAGCTTCTTTGCTGCGATGACGAGGACCAGGGAAATATCCATTTTTGCATGGAGTCGAAGACTCCAGTTGTGTCTGCATTGGCCACTTCGGGGGAAATTCCAACGAGAAGAATCAAAAGAACTGATCCGTTCATTTCGAAGTGTGAGCTATATGCCTTTGGGCGATCCAGATTCGACTGCGAAGGAGGTACCTGCTCTGCACCCCGAGCCGGCTAAGTAGAGTGCATCGAGTGATCTGATTAACTCCTGCGCATCGCGGCAGCTTTAAGGCAAAGTCTCTCTCTATATGGAGCTCGCAGCCTCTCGAGATGAAAATCTTGCTCGCCCATCGGAAGGCGACCGAGTTGGTCTGACGAATGAGTATCGCTCATTAGCCGGAGGAGCGCTTGAGGTCATTTCGCGAGATCCAATTATGGCTCGATGAAAGCCTTCCGTGGTCGATTTCAGCGTGAGGAAATCCAATCCAATCGTGAGACTGTATCGAAGTCGCACCGAGTGGTAGCCTGAGAGTGGAAGGCTCAATCTCAAGACTCCGCTTTTAACAATACAGTCGGACCCGCTCACAAGAGATACGCGTATAAGAGACTTACGCTTATAAGAGACAGATTCTATTCCTCAGTTTCCGAGCCCATAGTCTCCCATGTTAAAAAATTCGCGTATAGGAGACTTGAAAACTCGCTTATAAGAGAAACTCGCTCATAAGAGACTCGTCACGATTCCCCTTCTCATAGGATTCCATATTGAAGGATTCGCTTTTAAGAGACAGGTCGGAGCACTTTCACTGCGAAACGATTTTTTCCCGATTGCGACTGCTTGTTAGGCCTTCTAGACGCGCCTTAGGCTAACGTATGCGGGCCCGTGAAGAAAGGTTCATCATTTACAACTTCCAGCCATTTCATCCGCGATTGGGTGTTTCCGCGCATAAGAGAAACTCGCTTATAAGAGACTTTTCACGGTTCCCCGAGGCCTCTCTTATAAGCGGGTCCGACTGTACATTTTGATTTATGACTCAATCCGACTCGACTTCAGTTCGGATTCCGAGCTGCCCAGCTTGGGGGAAAAAAGAATCCAGAACTCCCTCGTGTAGGTTTCCGGCAAGGGAATCGCTACGGGAATGCAAGGGGAAATGAACACCGCGATCCAATCGCAGAATGTATCACACATTTCGAATATATTTCCTTCCGATTAATTAGCGACGGCGGCTTGATCAATCGCAGTCGTATGCACTCGAGTGAGATGCTCCAATGCCTATAGACGCTATATCACTGATCGTCGAGCTCTTCCGGCTACTCGGTAGGCCCATCCGTTTCCTGGACAGTGGCGAAGTTCGGAACATCTGCTGATGCTAGCTCGACGACTATTCACATATCGTTCAGGTGTCTTCACTTTATTTGAGGGTCACAGGCTCAATTGAACATTCGTATTTTCCCATCGTATGCTTTTGAAGTTAAGGCTTCCTCCTCATTACTCTTAGGGCAAACTTCAACTTGCCCTAGCGCCCGGGTGCAAGCCTCATTCTGGACTAATTCCTCCTCAGAGTTTGGCGGCGTGATTCGCAACTGCAAAGGCACCGACGCGACGCACCTCGGGATTCTGCTGGAACCAGGCTGTCACCTGCCCCCTCCCTTGCAAAATCTCCTCCATCACGAGGCCCCGGATGCTTGACTGTATCATCCCGGTAGCACCCAGGAGACGCTCCCTCGACTCGACGGCTCTCGGTAGATGTCTTCGAGTGCAAGTGACAGCATTCGCGAGCGGTGCATGCCACGGAAGAATTCGGATACAGAACCCCTCTGGAAAAACGATCCGATGGAGGAAACCAGACATGACACGGATCTCATCTGCTGGATGCGGAATTTATTCATAGTGTTTTACACCGAGTGTCTCGACAATGTATGTGTTAAATCATCATCATCCGACCGTTATAGCTTGAGGTTGCGCACTGCACGCTATGAAGGTCACAATCTCCGAGCGGCCTCACAATCTCTTATGGCGATGGGGTCTCCTGCGAGGAGTCCCAGATGAGTACCTCCATCCAGCTTAAAATCGTCGACTGGTGGTTTGGGAGGTCCCTCCCTTCCGACAAAGAGGTCGGCAAGGGTCTCCATCAAGCTTAGCGTTCGCTCAGATAGTCCCCCATTTATTTGCAAAGACTTTTGGTTCCCGTCGCTTTCACTAGTCCAGTCTAATGAATTTAGCCGAGTGGTAGAACGTTCTCTGTACATTTTGGCAAAATATTGTATTGGAGGATTCACTTGACACTGACTCCTACCTATCGATTCGACGACATCTGACTCGCCGAACGCGTTGCTTCTTTCCAGAGCTCGGTAGCGCACGATGCGACCTCTTTGGGGACTGCCACCCTTTTCCCGAATCAAAGAAGAAATTCCAAGCCCTCCCCGCGAGCTGAGCCCATGTTGCGAAAACCCATTGTACTCCGAAGTTGCGAAATGGAGATCCGGCCTGCTACTCTCTCGCGAATTCTTTCAAATCCGATCTATTTAGTAGTTTCTTTTCGCTCCCTGAAATATATTTGGGACTCTTCTCCTGAAAAAACTTTGGTGCCCGTAGCTGGGAAAGCTGATGGCGCTAATATTCGAGGAGTCACGCAATTGGGTTGTCTTGTGTTATCACGAAATTGTGGTCGAAGATGAGATGGCGGAGTTTTCCGGGAATGGAAGGGCGATGATCCTTCGAGTGTAAAAGGGTAAAAAGGCAGACAAGAGGGCAAGACGGGACTGCCACGCTCACAACCGAGGAAGTTCTCCAGCAATGCAAGTAACTTGAGCTCCACAGACCCTCTCGCCATCCATCGATCCGAGTAGGGTCTGGAGAGGAAGTTTCTATTCGCACGGCTCGCTCGCTCAATCCGGCCGCTGCAATCTGGAGACCAGACGGGTGGATGCGGTGATTTAACGGCGGTTCGCGGCGATGCGCATTCTAAGTCTGGCAGGAACTTGCGATCGCGCTGTATCGTTGAACACGCTCACTTTATGACGGTCTCTGACTGATATCTTGCCGTCTTCCTTTCTCCTCATAATTCGTTCGTCTCTATATACAGTCTACTCAATCAACTAGATACTCCTACCTAGTTCAGCAAGCCAATCACATGAAACGTTCTCCCGCCGGGTTTCCTATAGCTAGAGAAGTCGTGGATATGAAGTCCTAAGCTTGATAGAAAGGTGGAAAACTCTGTGGTGTATAAGAATCATACTATCGGAGATGATTTTCTCCCCTCGAGTGAGAATTCGAAGAGCCTAATGAAGATCGGGGTTTTACCCAAGGGGAGATGCGCACAACATCGCATCCGATATGGAGCTCACATAGCGAAAAACAAATAAGATTAAATCGTTTGACCCGAAAAGCTCTTTGGATGGACACAGGTTCCTCCAACGAACACCGGAAACTGTGCTAGTTCATAGTGGGAGTTGAATAAGGTCAGTATCGAGTTCTGTGGTCCTAATGGGGTGTTATCAAGAGTGCAGGAATCCTGATATGTCAATTTGTCGCAATTATCTGTTTGAATAGCAGAAGTAGAATTTCGTGGTGCTCCAACTCCGCTCCCTGTCGAATCATGTGGCTGAATTTTTGAGAGGACGTCCCATCAGCGTCCCGCTGATCGAAGATCCGAAATCCCTTGAGCGAAATGTGAGTAGAGCTTCGTTCGTTCGGCCCCAATTTCAATTTGCTTACATGCTGAGAGCCTATCCAATGAGATAGGGGTTTCCCAACTCCATCCGAATCAGAGGACGGATCAGCCGAGATCGATTTTACTGCCAGGTCTGTTCGTCGCGATCAGACGGGATTTTTTTGCGAAGTCAAACCGATGTGCCGGAGCCACGCTACGTCGTTCCAGATTAGCTCTCATTCCAGATCGCTGAAATCAGGTTCGATCTGATGACTATTCGACCTGATAGCATTCGCATCGAGTGGAGGGGGGGGGGAGGGCAGAGATCGAATGATAGCGAAGGGCAGGATTCGAGTTTTGCTGGGACTTCTTCTTGTTGATGAGATGCTCTGAGTTTCCAGAAACACAGGGAGCAAGTGTTCTTCTGTGTATAGTAGTAATGGCACGTTTCGCTTCCGGAAAAACTTCGGTTCGTGGATATCGTGGCCACCTATAGCCTAGGAAGGTCTCCGGCACTGAGCAGCCTTGGACATCTCTGACTTTCAACGTTTGACGAGAATCTGCGGTTGACGATGAAGTCGGACAAATTCCAGCGACAGTGGGACAAGTCATTGAGTTTGCATGGTGGCGGGCGGGCGAGAGGACGCGTAACGAGCGTCCAAGCCTCAATCCTAAGCGCTAGAAGACCGAGAACCGTGGCGGGTCGGTCCCGAATAGGAGGCTTGCAAAACGTCGATCTCCTGCACAGTCTTCCTCTGAAGTGAGAAGTTTCGTGGCGGATGTGCGATGCCTCGCCGACTGGATGCTGACATTGTTATCGAACCCAAACTCTTTCGTTTCAATCGTCACAGGGGAGTTATGGGTCGAGAGAAGTTGTGCTCAGGTTACTTGCCACACTGTTCCGGCTGTAAGTGTGCCGGAGACCTGGTCCGGAAGGTCCGACTCCGCAACCGGAATCTGAAATATTTCGACTGCATGTCAATCTCGCACGGAAATAATAGAGCGTGAGCAATATCGTCGACGGAGGAAAACATTTAGGTCAGCGATAATCCAAAAACGTGGCTCACCTTGACTACTAATCGATGGAGAAGAACGGGTGTTGAGAGGCGGTCGTGAGACGCCCACCGCGCCTAGATAGGAGGCGGGAACCCAACCTTCAACCACTTGGTCAACTCCTCGGACGTACCACCAACCCGCACAGCCGATTCTCATCACCTGTACGGTTTGGCCTTCACAGAGGGACGCCTCTCCGACGTCTACGGCCGCGTAGTCTCCGAGCGCAATATAGAGGTGACCTATCTGTGTTGGCGGTATGAAAAGATCTTCCTCGTCGTCTTCATCGGATCGGAGATCGTCCGTAGACCAACCGTCTTCGACATCGGAATCTGCCCTTCGTCTCAAGGCCGGAAGTGTCGCGCGCCTTCCAAGCGGACTCTTCTGCTGAGGTCCGAAACCCGTGGTTTGTGGTTGTAGATTCAGAGTGAAATTAGGGAGAGCCGACAGGGATGAATTTGATGAATAGTGTTCCCCGTGTCCGAGCCCCAGGGACGTGGTCGGTGTCGAGATCGGTGTACTCTGCAGAGAGTGCTGTCGTTCCCACATAGGGAAGGCCAGATGCGTCGTGGAATTCGGTCCTCCGATCGTGTTGTGTCGCATGGGGCTAAGAGTGGAAGAGCGGCGTAATTAGACCGAGGACAAATCCAATAGCGGCGCGCAGTAGGCGGGTATAATGGATTCATGGATCGATGAATAAGCCTAATGGATTAACGCTCATAGGATTCAGCAAAACCGATTAAAAATGTTCGGCGGATAGCTGCAGGCCAGCTGTAGCGTCGGCGGTACCTCCGCGGATAATAGTGCTCGCCATCGGAACATGGATAGTTCCGAGTGACGTATTTGCTCACCGGTGTTGCAGCGGCCGGCTGCCGGTGTAGGATGTGACCTCGATGTATTTCCGAGAATTCTCATCTTTCAGAAGTTCGAACTGCTGGAGCAGGACTGTCTTGATGCTGTTGATCCATTGGCTTTTGATTTCTAGGGACGGGGCCTGGATGGTGAAAACTTGGGAGCGACCATGCAGCCAAACTTCAAACTTCCGCTTGTCGCCACGTCCTTTGAGATTTTCAGTCAGGCCGATTTGTGAAGTCTAGAGAAGAAAGGAACAATTACTAGATTAAGAAGCGTATTTTCCAGGGAACTGATTCCGACTCCCAGGGCGTTGAGATATATAATATTTTTATTTGCTATCGCGCATGGACGAGCTGAATCTGGGCCGACAATCGGATTCGCCAGATGTTCGTGCTTGAAGGATCTTCGAAGCATGCTCACCTTGAGCGCGTTCTTAAATGCATACAAAAGATTTTCGTCCCTGCCCTGCCGCTTGGTGAACAGGATCAATTGCTCGTAGAGGAAAATGTATCGTCGCGAAGGCTTGAATCGGAGATCTTTGACAGATCGCTCCTTTTTCTTCTCCTCCATCCAAACGTTGAAGGGACCTTGGAGCAGCAGCTTCCCATAATCGGCAAGGGTACCCTGGAGCGTGGAGGAAAAATCGTCACGCAAGATCGAGCACGTCCCGAGGAGATTGCACGGCTCCCTCACACAATAATTCGGAATCGAATGGAACGAATCCTTCTCCATGATGATAGCTTTGGAATAATCCCATCTCCAAGCTGTTGCCGCCCTGTTCCGAGAAGAACGTATTCCCCACTCACATGGAAACCTGTGATGGAGACTTGATGCATGGAATCGTTGACATGGCGGAGGACATCCAGCATCGTATCGACGGCTTGTTGGAGTTGCAGAGTACTGCTCTCGTCTGATGCCACTTGAAGCGTTGTGTACTTAAGAAGATCTTTCAGCAGGAGCTGATATTTGGTTATTCGTTGGACCGGTTTCAAAAGATAAGCATCCAAAGGCAGTTTATGGTTCAGGCGACGCTGGCACTCCTGTGGAAATAAAAATGAAAGGATTCTCTCGATATGAACCTTCAATCGATTCCTTCCCTCCGAGCAGCCGAAGAGGAGTTCAAATCTCCCATCGGACTAGTCTATTACCTTGAAGAAAGCGTCGTCATTGGCACATTGAGCCCGCAGAGCCTCTGATCGAGGTTTGTTCATACAGTAAACTGTATAGAGGTGATGAAACTCCTCACTCCGTTCGACGAAACAACTCCCGACTTGCTCGGGTCGTGTCTGGTATCTGCGGATAAGAACGAAGGCTGTGAACGAATCGTCGCTTGGAGCGGGGCGCTCTGGGATCCTAAAAACGTCATCGAGGGCCTATATGGGATACTTTCTCCGGGACTTTCCGGCGTCGACGTCAAGTTCTCGATTACCGCCTCCGATTCTAACGTCAGTCACTTACAGGAGCTGTCTTCGATGCTCTGGAACTTATCTGTCCGAAACTGGGCCGGCTCCCGATGGTAATCCCGACGATATAACTGAGCGTAAAGTGTAATGAACCCTTTTCGACACTAGATGCCTCCGAAAACCACAGCGGTGACGGAAGAAGTTACCTATCTGTGCCTTGAGATTGACTTTGTGAATCACTCTCAGAATGAGCGGTTTCCAATCACCTACTATCATCGAGTACGGCAAGAAACAGCACAACTTCAGACGTCAGTCGGCAGATCGGAGGGATCGGAGAGAAAGGCGAAAACTGTCGTCTACGAACGGGGAATGGGATCTCCAGGCCTTTCCCCCTTCTATGGGGGGTTGTATCTTCGGAACCGATCCCTTCGTATGGGGGTTGAATCTCCGGGACCGTTCCGGACGTATGGGGAGTTGAAATTCCGGAACTGCCTTCGATTAGTGGAAGGCAAACGTCGAATCACAAGTCGAGTCAAGGAGGCTCTCGCTCCCCTTCTAACTGTCGGAGCTACCCTTTCTACCTTCCACCGGGGATATTTTTGACCTCTGTCCGAGAAAACTAGAGCCGAGACGCTTGGAGATGGGAACAATCTTCGACTTTCGATGCAGAAAAAACTGCTGCGACTGACGCTGCGGAAGCCCCGCTCGCTCGACGGGATATTGACCGAGGAGCCACTCGGCAAACGGAAAAGCGACGCTCTGCAATCAATACTCACGCTTGAAGTTCGTTGAGGAATACGTCACGATGGAAAGCGAGGATGTCAGCCATGTTGCCGAACAGGACGTCGGCGCGGTTTTGCAAAGTGGGGGGAATCATGTGCTTCAGTTCTGAATTAGACATCTGCTTCTGGTAGCCTTCGATAACGGAATCCAACTCGGACACGTACGTCTTTTCCGTCTCGATCAGCTCCATCATCACGTGTCTGCAATCGAAGTCCCTGTTAGCAAACTTTCCGGAAGAGGTAGGAATTCGATCAAGACCACGCTCGATTCTTCGGCTTATCGCTGGTTACTTCGAGTGTAGTCGGTGAGACCTCGAAATTCGCTCACAAGAACTCACCCTCTTTTATCTTTGAGACCCTCTGTCGGGGAGACTTGTGGGGCGCAGGGGTTCTCCAAGGGTAGCTGCACTTCAATCTGCGGAAAAAGCGATAATTCTCTCAGAACTCTGATTTGATAGTGCGGTGCTCAGCGGCCCTTGGCGCGGATTCCAGAAGCAGGAAAGGTTAGTAGCGACGATGTTAGCCACGGGGACGGACTGTTACGATATTGTGTGCGAGCCTGCAAGGACCTATTCTCTGTTGGACAACCGACATTCGAGGAACTTACCAGCTGACGGCAGAAATCGATCCGCGGAACCGAAAATCAAGTTACGCTGACACGACACACAAAATCAAAGCATGCAACTTTTTTTATTAGATGCTCACAACATAAACGTAACAGATAATGAAAGTTAAATACCGTCAGGATGCTAATCGGCATAACATGATCCCAGCGATATTTAAATGATAATGGTGAGAAATAATAATTTAACCCAGTCCTCCCAAAACATTCTGGATGAAAAAAGCTCATAAATCAGAACATGGAAAGGATTCGCTTTCCGAGCGAGAAGGTCTCGTCAACTAGAAAGGGTATCGAATCGTTCCGATTCTGGAGGGCAACTTCGACTGCGAATCACGTCCCGCAGAATTGAACCCATCCCACTCGCGAAGTCAGTGCAGCGCGTAGAATCGCCGCTTGTAGGCATCTTCGCGGTTTCCCCTCGCTTGCGAATTCCGAATGGTTCTCCCCTCTTGGTCGCTCTAGGTCGAACGCCTGCGCGGCCGCCAAAGGTCTAACGTGTGGATCGTCAGCGAGAAACTTCTATGCACCTTTGCTTTCAACGAAGTCCTGGATGATGAGTTGCTCTTGTCTGGAGGGGACATTTCGGGAGCCACTGCCTGTACGGGTTTCGATGCGGACCGTACAGAGGCGAGCTTCCTAAGGGACGTCTGTCTATTAACGCACATCACTCGAACGTCATCTATCCGCTTCAGTACCTGAAAGTGCGATAAAAGGAACCATCAAGGTAGAGCCTGATGAGGGATAGGTGAAAAACGAACTCGGATATCTCCCCCGGCAAGTAAACAGGCCAAGGGATATTATCGCCGATGAAGTTCCCAGACCCGGACGCCCATAAGGGCAAGCTTTTGTCCGTGAGCCTTAGAGGGCCCGCTGTGGTCGTCGGGGGGCTCAATGACACAGAACGTGGCCAAATAATCACTCCGGATGGGATTTAGATAATTGACAAAGACATGCTAATCTCCTTATTGAATACTCCCGAGAGTCGTCGGAGTTTTGATTGATTTTCGTCGGTCGCCCGAGGCCAACCCTCCCTAGTCGTAATCCTTGTCGAGATAGCGGAACAGACAAGCAGTCAGCCATGCAATCAATTGGTCTGCCACCGCTGGGTCTTCCTTGTCAAAGAGCATCTGTTGCGAGGATACATTCGCTCCGGGGAGGAACCACCGCACGCCCGCCCGCCCGTTGTTCTGAGGCTCGTCCGCGTCCGGGACAGAAGCTAAGTGCTGCTCAGGCCCTGTCGGAGGAGCGAGCCGCTCGAGCGGCAGCGGCAGAAAATGACCGGTCGCTTCGCGGATGCGAGGACCGGCGAGTAAACGAGACAGGCTGTCACGAGAGATTTTATGTGGTATTTTGTCAAGTTGAAAACTCCAGAACTTTCCCTTCGTCCATGGCTTCACATACACGACGTCAAAGCGGAGACCGTGTTGCGTGCATTAAACACAGACGCTGTTGGACAGACAAAGCGAGTTTCGCTCGTAGAATCCTCCTCTCCGTGAATATTAGACTCGAACAGCTGGCATTTCAGGCAGACGTTGGAAGAGCTGGGATATGTGTTCGCGAGTCCTCCTTGTTCCATCAGTTTCATTCCTCTGCGTAGCCTGCTCTTCCATATCCTCGATTCTTGTCCCCCGTTGCGCTGTTCTTCTATTCCCGAAATAGTCTTCGGGAAGCACTTGGCTCAGATTCCCGGACCCTTTCCCAGGTTGGATGGCACTGAACCCTTGTCAGGCTCTCCGCTTTGCCTGGTGACACGCTCTTCGTTCCGACGTCGGTCATAAAGTTTTTATGGAGGGTTGATCAGTATTCATACCGAAAACGAGAACGCATGAAGACGAGCAGACAGTCAGTCAACGGACCACGGCTCTGAGTTCATTCCACTTTCTATCGACTCAGAACAGCTCACTGCGTGACGACTTCGCGCCGCCGACAGCATAGGGACTGCTTGACTCCGTTCGCGTCATCAAATGAATGAACTGCGCTTTATCAAGTTGCTTCACCGAGTCCCTAGAGCCCAGCGAACTCTTGCCGTGTTCTTAGGTCACGTCCTCCGATGATAAATCGCAAGGCTCCGGGAATTCCTGGGAGTTCCTGGGAATCTCATTAGATTCCGAGAAGCAAGCAGGCGGAACTTCCGCTCAAAGTCCGATAGCCTGGGGCCGTCTCTCCGAGCTCGGGATCGCTCTCAGTATTGATTAGGTACGACGCGCAAGACGGTCGGGTCTCTCAAAAATGTCGGTGCGTTCGCTCGTCGGGCCGACAGGGCCACCGAACGGACATTAGGGACACTCGAGGGAATTCCAGAAAGCGAGAGCAACTTCCGAACGGAAGCGAAACTTTTTTCCGCAAGTACGTAAATGAGAGAGTGTCCCAGTGTGCTCCGGTCGGTTGAATTCAATGGCTCCATGCGCCGCAGCCGGTCCGGGCCCCATTCGATCGTTGACAAGGGAACAACTGAAGAGGTCCTGCGTCTCGGAAGGGAGAGGCCCCCAGGCACTCAACGAAGCCGCCTCCGTCAAAGGAGTGTCTGGTTGAATCTGTACGAGGAGCGGCTCCCTCTGTATGAGAGAATACGTCGATTCTCAACAGTGAATGTGCCCAGCTCGCCTGTTGGGCCCGAACGCTTCCCAACAGAAAGCCTCCTTGCCCTGGGCTCAACAAGTTGGGGGAAGGCTAATACGAAACCTTCCCCGCGGATACAAGCGGAGGGAGAATTTCGAGCAGAGGATCGCAACACATCACAGAGCTGCCGAGCCTTGAATGAACGCCGTGGGTTAGGAGATATGAGCTCGGCGAAGCTCGATGCTATTGAGTCAAGCAACGTCTCCTAGTTGAGGCCGTCCTGATATTTCTGTGATTTAGACCTGATTCCAAATTTCTCGTCAGCCGAACCTAACCGGCTAGCACATCTCTAATACGAAAGTACATCTGACGTCTGATCTGGTCGATCGCCAATATTCTACACTGAACTTCTAGCACAGCACGCAATCGGCGGATCGCTATTGATTCGGGCTCGTCGTTCCGTTCCACAGAACGCTTGGTCCCGGATCACGTCAGTGACTTGCCTGTTGCAGTAGCGGACGCGTCTCACTGTTTATGAAGTCCTCGAAGTATTTGTGGAACTCATCCGTATCGCCCATGCGGAATTCCTTGGCCGTATCCAGGAAACGATTCAGATCGTTCAGAGCCTTCTCGGCGAAATCCGGTGACGTACACTTCTCGATGTGGAGTCCAGCCAGCAGCTCGATACCTTCAGTGCACCATCTGCGGCGAGAGGATGCTATATTAATAGGTTTTCCCCGCACAATCGCTGCTCTCAATTTTTTCGGAAATCCGTTCGATGTCTTCACTCGGGAGAATGTCTCCACTGCGTCGGAGCAGAGATCATGAGAAGCCGAGGTCGCATAGTATTCTGCTCGAGCGGTAGCCTCACGCCCCGGCTGGCTCCTAAGAGAGTGTTTCAGTAATCTCTGGCAGAACCTCAGGAAAGGGTTCTTCTAATTTGGGATCTCGAAAGCAAGGGCTGCACGGCAAACGCAAGAAATGCTCGGTTCTTACGTCGCCATTTTCGCCGTATGGTCGGGGAAATATACTCGAGCTACTCCGATAATTCCCGAATTCTCGCGGGTCAGACCGATCACACTTCGGCTTGATCGATTAGGAGTACAATCGACGGCGAATCCCCCAGAAGCTGGTGGGGCTCCGAGCCCCTCCCCGGATTATTCTTCGAGAGGCTAGACTAGAGGAGCGGCACGCCATTTTCGATCGACGGCCCCATACGCAGGCGCGACGAGAGGGGGTACCGGAACTTTTTTCCCCGGGCCCCAGAGTCTCCGGAGGGGCCCCTAGCTCAGGCTTTAGTCTAATGATTTGGTCTGCACCCTAAATTCCCCCCCTTCTTAAAAGATGCATGGAAAGGAAACTGCTGCTCTGACCCTTTCGTTCCGTCACTCTTCTAGCGACAGATCACAGACCGAGAGGGGCCCATGTCCGAACTTCCCCCGAGCCCAGGATTTCTCTCTGCGACCCTGCCCATACGGGATCCAATACAGCCCCTGGCTCCTGAACTATAATACCTCTCGGCTACGCGCCCTAGAAGAATCAAAAGGGCTCACAGTATTCTTCCGAGAAACTCTTCCTTACCGATTTGCTCTTTCGACTCGTTCTTGAAGATCTCGGTACCTCACAAGTTTGTCCTTCCGTAAGTTATACTTCTCTTTAAAATCGAAACACAGCCTCTCTAGCTCCACGCATTTAGGCTCGATCGAATCCATCGCATAATGACCTCCCTCGAGTAGACGTGACCCGATTCTCTGAAGGTGGTCCGCTTTCTCTAAATCATCCTGGAATCGAACATGGGTTGAAACCGCTGAACGGATCCTCAACCCGAGAGCTCTGTCGACCGACTGAGATTAAGGGAAATTCTCCGGTATCTTGGGAGTTCCTCCCTCACGGTTAGGAGGTACTACCTCGACTGTTTTGGCGAAGTTCTCGAGTTCCTCTCTGAGAGTGTCCACTCTTTTCACTGAATCCCCCAGCTCGGTCATGTCTTGGATATCTCTGATGTTTGCCGTCATATTCATGTGAACTTCTTTGAACTGCGCCTCGAAGCGCCGCAACTGAAGGCACTGATTCAATCTGGAATCGGAATTTCGATTAGTGAATCGAATATTCCATGGATGGATGTTGTCGAGCCTATCACGATGGTCGACGATAAGATTTTCGTGAACCACGAACTTCCGCAGAAGCCTGAAACCACTTTCTGGACGATATGTCCCGCAAATTCTCAGCGGTTGATATAGCTCACCGTTCCTTGTGCAGAAGCCAGAAGGAATCAAGGTTCCTTTCATGCTGCACGAGCTCCTGCATCATTTGACGCACGGAGCACTCATTAGCATTGAGCCTTTGACGCTGCTGTCTCTGTCGCATGTCCTCGTGGTCGAGCGTATTGTACGGTATGACCTCGGGAGGCTGAACCCGGACCTTGGCGAGGAGATCCTTCCCCCGCTGGGCCGCCGACAGCAGTGAATCCTTCAAGTTCTGGTATTCCCCTGGAGTGAAAAAGCGCAAACACGTTCTTCCGAGTGAACCTCTCGCCGATTCTCTTTTGGCCTTCCATTACGGCACTCGACGGGGTACTTACCGCCCTGATCCTGGAGAAGGTTGTATGTCGTATCGGCATCGTTCGGAAGTTCGGTTTCTTGGAAATGCCGAGACACCTCCCGAATCGAGGCGGAGAGCTCTGCGAGGAATATCGAATACTTCTCGACGGCCTGGAATTCCAAAAGCAGAGATATGGCGTTAAGGAGGTTTCCGGCACCTGGCAGAGGGATGTCCCATTCATGAAGGTGATGGAAAGTTGCGCGACGACGAAAACTCCCGCGGCTCCACAGAATTCTGGGGAGCTCAAGGGATCTTCAATACCATGACAAAACATGCAGAGAGGATTCGGAGCCGAGCGCGACAAAGAGGTTGGGGGCAGAAGAGTTTCATCTGGGATTCCATCAAGATAAGCAGACTCCGCTCCATGGATGAATACATTGCAGATCTCGTTCGGCGGATCCTGACTGATGCCGAATATTGCCTCGCTCTAAAAGAGCTCTCTAGGCTTCTTTCCGTCGAATAGGGAACTAATGCTTTCGTGGAGAATAGGCGGACGTAGATTCGTATAAATTTGCATAATATCGCTCGAGTTTGTTGAGCGTACGCAAGCGCTACATGCGTGTCCCATTTTTCCTTTCGTCTCCAACTTGTCCTTCGCTCTTCCGCTGAACGCAGCGAAATTCGTCCAGACCGGGAGGCTCCCGCATTCGCTCCCGCAGGAGAAGGAGAGGGAAAGGAGGGAAAAGAAGCGAGAAGAATGGAGGAAACACAGTCGGAGGACCGCGCGAGGAACTGGCGATTCGAGAGCAGCATGGGGAATTTCGATTCCATTCCGCTCTTCCCTGAGCCTCGGTCTCCAGGGACTCGGCCGCTCGCCCATAATCCCCGTCACACGAACCGAATAATGATAAAATGAATAGCGAACCTAGAGTGAAATGGCTCAGCGAGGACGAGGATATATCGTACTGGCGATCAAATAAAATACGCCCGTGAGGTCGCATGTCTGAAATCATTGGGCAGCGTTGATGCAAGGGCGGTGCTTCCAACAATTCGCTTATGCGACTCATTCGGTAGACGGGTTCGGAGCGGACTTTCGGGGTCGTCATAGCCAAGCCGCTGTTCCTTCTCTTCGTTAAGGCACCGGCGGAACATGGTGAGGGGCTTCATCATCGTCTCAACAGGCTTCTTCTGAACTGGGTTCCCGATCCCCGGCCCACGGGAGAGTTGAAGACAGACAGACCCACCGGGAAGCATATCGGAGCCGATTAAAGTCAGATCTCTGATCGCCTGCTCCGCATTACATTAATGAGCCAGGGATCTCGATTCTGCTGCTGACTCTGGATGAATAGAAGAGCTGAGAGACCGGAGCTTTCCGCCCACCGACAAGCACGCTGGCGTTCTCTTTTCAATCGGCATCTTATTGGAGACCAGTCCAAGCGTCAGTCTCGCCTAGGCATTCCGCGATCACATTGATCTCCTCTCTCTGAGTTGATTCGGTGGGATCCTCAGCTTTCCGGGCTTACGAAAGTAAGTAACGATGTCGTTCCGAGGTCATCATAACCGTAATGTCAGCCGGGATACGGCTGAACGAGCCGGTGGTCGTGCAGGGAAAATAATTATTCGCGCTAGAAATTCCGCCACCTTGCACCCATGATCGTCGGAGTGAGTGGACGAGCGGGACTGCAGGCGATTCGGCTATGCGAACGGTTTCGATTAACGCTCCGCTTATCAGATTCCTGCAACTCTGGCTCGTATACGGGAATGGTACGTTTAATGCACGAACATCGGCGAACCTAATGACCAGTACTGAGAAAAATAGATTTGCTATGTTTAGGATCCGCGAGCAAGACCGACTACCTACTTTGGATCAGTTTGTTGCCGTCGGATGGCCGTGCCGTGTGCCGGCCGAAAAAACGTGCTAATTACCCAGTGCACGTCAACAGAAGACCAAAGACGCTGATGAGCCAGCAGTGGTGGCCACACCCCGTACCGATGTACGTATGTGGAACTAGGTATGTATGTCTTTATGGGAGCGTTGTGAATGCCGACCCAAAATACAATCACGAAGTCACAGGGGTTTCACTTTGGTGTGAGGTTCCCCAGACTGACCTCAATCCAAAAAAACATCCGAGCTCTTTGCCATCAATCCATGTGGACGGCGGCCGCCGAGTTCTTGCACGTTTTGGTTTTTTATGTGGCCGGCTCAATAAAAGCGAGCGGAGACCGCAGATCTCTATCGATCCCCACAATTTTTGCCAACTAGCTTCATCACGGCGATCCGTCTGCTCCCGCAACTGATCGGCCCGAAGAAAACGACTTCCTCTCCCGAATGGAAAAATATGTCGATTCCTCGGTCATCACGAACTCTCTTCGGCCCCGAAAGCTCTCCGGGCCCTCGATGACGAGAGCGATAAGGATGACGTTGTAGCAGCGAACTCGACGAGGAATACAGGAATGCGGGTTCTAAATTTCCGATAGAAGTCATTGGGGGCTAGTGAAAGATACTCACGAGTCTTTGGTCGCACCACAATCGATGGTCGTAAGGGAGATGACCCCCGACGTCCTGGGTGAGCTGGGACGGATGGATGTACGAGTGGAGCTCGGAAGTTGAGCTTAAAAGCACTACCTGGGAGCGTCGAGAGGAACGAGTTGATAGAGTCTTCAGCGAAACACGGTCTTTCATATTGATTGAAAACTTCCGGCAGCGAAAAATCAGGTATCTTCGTCTCTGGTCTTCTTCCGCGAGAGTCTCTCTCTCACAAATCGCTCGAGTAACGTACCTGGAAGTTGAACTCGTCTCTAAAGAGCTTGTGTGACACTTCGGAAAGCGCCTTCTGAAGGAAGCCGGTGGGCTTGAGCACGAAGACGATTTGAATGATCCCTGGGAAGAACCCCTGAAATGGAATATATTCGTTTCAAGCGAGCTCGACTGAGCGCTCAGTTCCGTGAGGTAAAGCTCCCTTCCGACAGTGAAATCTCGAGCTCTCGAGATCCCCCCTCGACAGATCCCGATGAACTCGAACTGAGTCGTCAGACCGAAGACCTTTTCCTCATCCATGTAGCTTCCGGTGTCGAACCCACTGAGCTCCCAAGATGCTTCTTCTTGGTAGACGCGATGACCGGTAGATTTTCGTGCATCGAGACCGAGAGGGATGATCTTTGGGATCGATTCGGGAGAACTTTTGAAATTACGAACTGCACTCCGAGGTGGGAACTCACCGAAATCTTGAGCAACACCGTCTTGACCGAGCTCCACTTGTCCCTTCGACGATCTACGATGATGACGAAGCCCGCATCCTGTTCGTGCGGCAGCGGAACTCCGGCCAGATATTTCAAAAGACGCCGAAAATCCTCGTCAGGAACCTGACACAGCGTTCCTGTGTCGGGCAGGTGGAGCACGGGATAGCCTTCACATGTGTGGCCGCCTGTGGAGGAGAGGAAATACATCTCGTTTTAGCTTGTTACATGAATGATTCACTTCGGAAGCATCGCGCTCTATTCAAGATGGGTGTCATCTCCGGAAGGAGCGAAATATGGAGTGCAGCACCCGAGAACGACTACCTGTCTCCCCCGAGGGCTACTTCCGCGCCCGTTCCTCCTCATCGGGGTGAAAAAATCTTTCAGCCCTCGCGCCTCGCGGATGTATTCGCCCGGATGGTCTCTAATTATTCGGAGTTTCCCGATGCTTATTCCATTCAGTGTACATCTGGATGTAAGTTCGGTGGTCGTATATGACTCTCTGATGCGAAGGATTCACTTCGGTCGAGAACGCCGTTCTCAGAGGGGAGCGAACAATCGCCTGATCGCGCGAACATGGTGATATTTGCCGCTCCCATTCGGTATCGAAAGACTCGAAGTCGAGTGCCGATACATCTGGGGGGCGTCTCCCTAAAACATTGCTATCGGCATCGGCCGCGTCAATGGTCTCTCGATGGGCTTTCGTTTGGAGGGACGACGAGTGCAATACACATCGACGAAAGCCGATATTCATTTGAGCCCAATAGACACAGAACGTTCGGCCAGCTATAAAAAGCAACAACAACCTCCATGGCCCGGGGAAGGATCCGAGCGACAAAGGCGCTATGGAAACGTTCGAAATTCAATATCCGCATGAAAAGAGACTCTGACAACAACGTGGACACATGTTTCGGAGGGAGGCGCAAGAGAAAATCGGAACAGATCAGCCCGTCTCGCCGAAAAATAAATCATGAAGCGCTGGTTCTGTACGTGTTCAGTTCAGTTCGGCATGTTTTTTCCGCGTCACGTGAATCAATTCCGTGTCGAGCTTCGAGTTTACACTCGCTCACGAACGGGGCGGTGCCGGACGGATGGCAGTCGCAGTCGAGCTCGGAGTGACGAATGGATTCTGAGGCGAAACATGTTTTTGGTCCACCTCCGACATAGGTGGAGCTCGTCCGATGACTGCGTAGTTCGCAGTAGGATGCTCGATTCCGATAAGGATCCTTCTCGCTCAACAGGGTCTCAATCGCACACATGGGCGAGGGGAGGTGTGTCCTGTCACGACGGAACATTCTACAGAAGACCGATTGCCTGTTCCAGTGTCGTATCAGGGTTGCTGACAGATTGTTCGCATACCACGAAACGTTGACACGAGAATCGCAACTTCACCTGATGGAGCGACAGCAGGAACAGCATCTCATCGTCCAGGTAGCTCGCGATAGCGGAGACGGGCCAGACGGCGCGAAATACGAGTCTCTCGGTCACGCCGCGACGCTGACGTGAAGCCGTAGGGAGGATTCCCTCCATGCAATCGCTCGCACGCTCGAGCAGGGCGACGTTTGATCTGTAAGTTCGTCCCGCGATAACAGCTTCAAGTGCCGACAAAATTTTACTGCACGAAATAATTTCGTGTTCGGCGTCCGCGCGCCGCTCGTCCCTCGGATTTCTGACGGGAGGCACTCTGATTTATAAACGTTACTCTGTCGAGAAAATTACGTTCCATCGTGGAATTCCTGTGCACAGTTCCGTGACCTACTCTTGACGTGATCTCGTTATGTGCAGGGCCCGCGTACTCAATGATGGAAACCCCATCAAGCCGCAATGGAATGTTGACGGTTTTGAGCTCTGCGAGCATTCTCCGGCGGATTTCCGACTTTCCATCCAGGATCGGAGCTCAATCATAGGCCATAGGGACACGATCCCAACGAAGTATGGGGCTCTGTCTCCAGGTGGTCCGCTCGATGTCGAGCTCGAGGTCGACCCGAAAGCGGGAACCTTCAACACGAGGGACATTGTAACTATTGACATCGAGCCCGCACAGCGACGACGAGGCTGACGACGCGGAGAGGGTCATGCCGGCGGTATCTAAATGATAAATGGTTTCATTTCTTGATCAAAGACGTGTGCTCCCTACGTTTCGGTCACTATCAACGACGAACGGGTAGACCTAGACCGCACGTCCGATGCGGGCCGAGAGCTTCACCAGCGGGATGTCCGACTCGAATGAATGTCGTTCTGATTGCTTCGCTGGTAGGGCATGCGATTGCGACGACCAGGGGAAGACGGAACATCCGCTCCGGCGAGGGGGGGGGAGGCGAGTGAAGGCGGGAACGTCGTCGAGGACCGAGGAGGCGGACGAGCTGGCAATACGAAACTCGGTCTGGCATCTAAGTTGCGATTGAGACTACTTCGTGGGGCCAAATAGCAAGGCCGAGCTCTATTTTCTGTCTGATCCGCATCTCCGCCTCGCAAGAGGAGACCGCCGCCTCGTCCGCTCTCCCGGTCGGTCAATGTGCTGGACCGTCGACCGTCCGTCTTCCCTCGCGGCTAAGGACTACGCCGGACGAGCAATTCATCTTCGCATCAGGAGTCTTATGGCACGTCTTAGCCTCACTGCAAACATTGTGGATTGAGACTATCCGCGGGAGGAGACAAGCAAGTTGGGCGCTTAGTGACGGCATCCAGCGTAGAACTTTCCCGTCTGGCGTTATCGTTTTCGGTCGTCTCGAGGACTTATCATGAGCTCGGGAGGAATCTTATCGAGCTTCCGAGTAGGCCGAGAGGCTTTGCACCTTCCAGCAGCGTTTCCAGGAACGCTCCACTCCTTCTGAGCGCGTACGGACGGGGAAAAATGTTCCAGCACTGAGGCAAAGCGGTCTCGAACGCCAGTCGACATCTCAATGCGGCGGAAAGCGGAGCGGGAACCGAGTGCAGACCTAATCTAGCCGGAATAACTTGCTCGGGGAAGCGGGGGAGACTTATCGCGTTTACTTCCGGTGCCTCTCCATTAATCTTAGGGGAGTAAGTGCGGAGAAGTTGGGTTCCATCTGAAGTATTCCCGCGAGCCAGCCACAAGCCGCGGGGGACTGAACCCTCCGAATATCCACAAACGCGCCTTTCAAGGTGAGATTCGCCTTCCGAGAGGATCTCTGACACCGTAAAAGCGCAGAAATCATCCAGTCGGTGCGGGGGTACCTTTGTCTTTCTGGCTCTGTGCCTCTCTGCGAGAACTTCAATGTCTAACAACAGTTTAAAAAAATGGAGGTACGCGATTTCAATGTCTCACAAGAGTTTAAAAAAATGGAGGTACGCGATTCCCAACAATGGCACATACATATAATACGCGCATTCCACATGAGATCCCCCCGTGGTGTCGACATTTTTTGTTGGAGCGGAGTTGGATTCGAGCCCGATCGAAGTACGACTCCTCTCGTACGGAATTCGAATCGGATTGAGTCCATGCGCCGTCCTTTGTGAGAGTGTGTCTAGGTTGACACCGCGCTCCATCCCGATCGATGCTCAGCCAAAGATGACGGGAGAGTCAGATTAAGCGTAGCGTTTGCATTCGAGTTTCGCGGGCGATCGAGCGATAAAACATCCGAAAATGAAGCCTCGGGAGCGGGAATGCTATGCAGATTGCTGGATCAACAATGAGACTCGCCGTACGGATCCATCCAACCCTTGTACGGGAAGTGTTCCGTTGCCCCCTTCCGCATCGGATTCGCTTTATTCTCCTTCGTCGCTATATCCCCGGAAAGCGAACCAAGGATCAGGGATGGTTTTCGGAAATTCCGCGCGTCTTGATAGCGTTTCCTTCAGAGAGTCTAGCACCGAATGTTGAAATATCAGTGAAAGCGCTCCTTATATCATGGAGGAAGTGCGTCGGTTATCGGCCTGGCTTCTCTAGCAGTTAGACTGAGCCTGAGACTGAGAGGCTTTCTGCTTCCCGAATCTCCTCCGTTCCCGAATGAAGGCTTCGCTCCGCGGATATCTCCGTCGGAATCATCACGATGTTTCATCGTCCATATACTTAGAGGTTGCTGCGTCGACTCGGAATGCCCGGTGTTCTCCGTGCGCGGTTTCGGCCATATTCTGTCAACATCCGTTTTCCGGCTCGCTGACGATATTTCCTACGAAGAAGCGTTTCGCTGATACCCAACATGGCTCACCTGTGACGAAAACGTGTTTATGTTGAAAGGTATGAAATACATCCTGTAGACTCAGAGGGCCCTCCATTGTGTCGTCTGCAAGACAAAGAGAAACTCGTTAGTTCGTAGTTCCGATTCGAGGTCCTTCAGTCGATGCATCGCGCACCGCCATCTCTCGGGTCAGTGTTTCTGGAATCCTGGATGAATACGGAGATCGATAAACATCAGAGAATCGACCCATAATAGATCTGGGAAGTTTTCGGGTTACCTTGTTTGCTCGGCAGTTATAAAAATCACACGAGCTGCAAACACAAATCTATCAAGCGATCTATTTGTATCTCTTTTTTTTCGTTATCTAGAAATGGCATAGGGAGCTCCAGTAATTCCCAGACTGCGATTCGGGCAACGATCCGCGTGGATTAGGTGGAAAGTGAAGATCGAGTTTCGAGACATCTCGGCTCCATTCTGAATCGAAGTACCCGGCGTTTCATCATGCACGGATTCCCCTGTCGTCATTCACATCCTAGAGGTGCGTTGGAGTCAGAGAAACGAACGGTGAGTTGTGGACTCATTCGACGAACATTAGCTACATTCGTTTGCAGCGAATGCAACTTTGGTGGTATGTTAGCACGTCGTTCGAGGAGCGAGCTGGTGGGATGTTCGCTCCGCAAGCTCGTTGAATGGGCAAGTTTCTCCCGAGACGAATAAAAACCCAATAAGACCTTGTACCGAGGACCTCGACGAAGTCCGGTGAGGGCTTCAGCGCTAATTGAACAAACCAGTTAGGAGGGTGAAGAGAGGTTTTTATTTTCCCTCTTCGTCGACGCGACGTCCATACAATTCATTCGGATGAGCGACTGTAGTTTCAGGAAGCTCCCGGCCACTCCGACATGGTCTGATCCTGGTTCATCGGGCTTCGAGCTTCCTTGAAGCGATTACCGAAGTGAATACGAAGAAATGCCGTCCTGTCGGTATGGAAACAAGTGAACCGCGTCTTCCCGCATGACGCATGATCACCAGAGCCCGAGATCGAGCACTCCAAGAGAATTCTTTTTGGGGCCCATTGCTGCTCGGAGCGACGGCACGGGAATCTCTGGAGATCGAGGGAGCAGAAAACCCGAGCGAATGAGTTCGGAGCTTCAGTGGGACCAGTCTCAGCAAGGACGACTCGCACAATGAGAACAGCAAACAAAAGAAGGATCGGTACAGCGGGGTGACGACGCCATTTCACACTCCCAAATGGGACATTGGAGTCGACTCCGCCGAAGAGGACGCCGGCAGCCATTGTTTCATTGGTAGCGAATCCCCTTCTTGCTCCCTTGTTCTCTCAGCACAGCTTTCCAGTGGTATATAGCTCTGGGTTGACTAGTTTCGAAAGCCGACGGGGGTGGGCCTACGAGCGGAGCTCCGTCGCAACGCAGAGGCATTCGTTTCGTCTGGCTCCTCGTTGCGACAGGGGAAATGTTGCTACGTTGTAGATGCGTACGGAAGGAACGGTCAGTCGGCTAGATGGTCGGGCGAGGGCGAAGTTTGCGAGTTTGCACCGTCAAACACTATTTCCGTGACCGGCGACCGATTCTAAACGACTTCCGAAACTCGAGGGGAAGTTTTCCCACCGCCGGAAATCACAACGGAGCTCCGGCGCACCCGCTGATCTCCGAACGATGCAATCGTGTACAGCTGAGGTGGAGATCTCGAAGATTAGCGATGGAGGAGGCAGCTCTCCGATGTAAATTATTCGATGGTGATGTCGCTCTCGGGCGGTTTCGGATACGAGCCCGCGCGGATGATTTCGAGACCATCCGGCTGGCAATTCCACGGGTTCTTGCCTGATATTCGCTTATTCGACATATAGGAAGGTTCACGGCCCGTCTCGATAAAGGACCAGCTCATGGACTGGGCAGGATGCGGCAAACGAAAAACAGGCATCGGGGTACATGTATATCGCTCTTCGGGAAACAGACGGGCACTTTGTGCCCATATTTCCTTATATTCCGCAGCAGAGGAGCGGGCCGCATCACGCGGGAGCGGTGTTCCTCTCTCCTGGGAGGACTTCTCCGCGGCGGATTCCACGTCCAGAGAGGCCGCCGTTCTTCATCATCATCGTCGCTTCTTGTATCCCTCCCGGCGGTATCTTCTCCTTATTCCCGTAAATGAGGCTGATCGCACAGTTCCTATGCGATATGCTCCGACGCTCCACACAAGGTTGTGGCCTTCGTCCGATGCTTCGGAAAGCCATCGAGGTAGACGAAATAATAAATCTCTCCCCCCGGGTGCCTTCGAGTGTTTGCGATAGATCACCAAGAGCGCTCATCAAAGTACTCGAATGCGTTAGGGAACATCTGGATGAGAAGGCGACATCCTCGTCAGATGCCGCGAACTCCTGATACGAAATTCCCGCGAGAGAGTCGAGATAGCTCATTAGAAAGCAAGGATCTCCAGCGGTGATCAGCTGAGATCATTCCTCGATCTGCCGAAGTAATCAGTTCCCTTCTACCCATGAGAGGGGAAATTCCAATACGTCGAAAACGGCTCTTTTGGTTAGCTATCGTCAGTCTGTAATGGCTCTAACGTTTTCTCGCTTTCGCCTCATATTTATTGCACCTTATCGACTCTACCGTCAAGCTCCGCTACTTCTTATCGGTCTCCCTGTCCGTATGAGTATCGTTTTCGGATCCGCGCGTACTCGCTGCTGCTCGCAACGATCGAAGGAAATGTCCACGGTCACCGAGCTGAGTTCACAGAAGGAGCGCGTGCGGAACAGTCGAAAGCCAGAGCGGAAAGCGCGGCCGGGTGGGCTTCAACGTAAGGATCGGATTCTCAGGACCTTCTCTTCTTGTTTGAAGAGTCCATATCCGCCGGGCTCTTCCGCTCGCATTTCTCAGATCTTTCAGTTCCGCGGAATCGGGCTGTCAGCGTTAACGGCACGAATGATCCGAGAGTCCGATTCTGGAGAGTGCTCACGGAGAGAACGAGGAATTTCGAGATTGGTCCTGGTCCTGCCTCGATAGCAAGCGCTTGAGAGGATACGCTGCCAGCCCTCGAGCAAAAATTATAGCTTGCCAATACGGATGGAATTATTATTATTATTATTCGGGCGTCGTCCGGACTCCTGGGGTGGTCACCGATCATGGCTAAGCTAGAATTTTATTCAGATCGATGCCAGCTCATACCAAGGTTTGCATAAAAACGCTTCATCATTCTCTTCCAGCTTCGCGCGGAATCCGAAAGGAAGTTCTCGGGACGGACGCCTCCGTAGTTGAGCTACAGCGAGGAATTCGAGGGTCGATCAAGTCAAAGTGTTATTGTATTCGAATGGCGTCTGGACCCAGACCCCAATTCAGGCTGGGGGCACACTGTGAATCACTCGGTTCCGAAAATATTCCATGCGCTGGAATTCGATCCTCGAGAGAAGATGGCGTATTTTAGTGGCATTCAAACTCATTTCTGCGCGGCACCCCCATGCCGCCGGAGGTGCCGCGGGACGATCCCAGGAGCCATAGTTCTCATTATTACCAATAATCATCAATGACCCCTTTCTAAATGATGCCTCATGGGGGAGAGACCATCTGGGAACTCCCAGTGAATTTTTACCGATTTCCTATAGCTTGCTCTGGAACTTCTTCCGGTTTCATGTGACACTTCGCTCGCCGGCTCAGGGGCGCCACCCTGCGGAAATACCTTATGCCTCTCCCTGGGCTAGATCATGGCGTGCCATCCTTGCCGCGTGGATGGATCTCCTGAGCTGGAGTCCCGCTTCGAAGATTTTCGGAACTCACAGTGAGAAAGAGCGTCCTTATATTTCAATGTCATTATCAGACGTTGTGGGCTCATCGGTGGCATTCGCGCACCATCCGAGCGGGGAAGTCCCCTGACAAACACCGTTCACATCAAAGGGAATTTCGCGCGAAGCGCGTCGCGACGCCAGCGTGCGAATGACCGCCTGAGCATTTCATGATCACGGACACTTATCTTTCACCATTGGGAGGAATTCCGCTGCGGGAAACGCTCCGATAGGGAAAAAATACACACTTCCCGAACGACCTACGATAAGAACAATTAACCTCAAGTCCACCGGCCAAAGCTGCATGCTGCCGTCGGAAAGCACAACAGGAACGACGACGCGACGTACGGATTTTCGAGAAATACGAAGCCTATTGTCCCGAAATCCCAGTTTCCCACCATGCGCCGGCGAAAGGCACCGGAAGGAAGATGGACGATTCTTCTCCACTTAAAATCTGGAGCTTTCACTCTCCAACATTGACCTGAAGCACACGAGGCCGCTCACCACAAGCTCAATAAACGGAGCTTTTCTCGTCCATACACCAAAAATTACTACGGCAGCATCAGCTCCAGAAGTTTCTGAGCAGAGTTCATCCGTAATGATTCATGAAATACTTCGGCCGAGGCTCGAAGATGGAGATCCACTCGGTGGAAATAATGGAGACCATGGCTGAATTGATCATTACATTCAGTGAAGTGCTAGGAATCTGGTCGTCGCGCTAGCCAACCTCTCGGTGAGCAGAGTCACTTTGATAGAAATAACATTTTTGAAGACGTCGAATGATCTTCTATGAGAAAATTGCGCCGTCCGTTCCGAGCCGTGGACGACAGACGAAAAGTGAACTGACTGACCGAGCATTCTCAGCGGGTCGGAAACGACGCGACACGAGCGCGTCCCAAGCTAGCGATGGTCCTAATGGCCGAAATTCTCCCACCCGCCAATTCGTTCGGTCCCTGTCCCACCCTGGCGGCGGGCGCTACCCTGCTTAAGCACCGGATAGCCTAGTGTCTAGAAGAGTAATTCGTTCATCTTTCCGGATCAATAATTGTATACGGCATCCGATTCTTGTCTGCGCCGGATGAATGCTCGACATAGCCTACTTGGATAAGTGCGCCCCGGGGCAAAATTAGTTTACTATCGAAGTTATGCGTTCTTTGAGCTGTCTTCTTTTATTCGACGTTACATAAGAGTCATTTTCAGAATAATGGCGAAAATAACGGTGATTCCTCCCTCCCTGAAGAGGCCGTCTTGGAGTGATCGGGCGAATCCGGTTGTCAGTTTCTGCCTCATTCCATTTTGAGCACCGTCCGGATAGCTTCTCCGCGCTGCATTGCGTCAAAGGCGTCATTGACCTTATCTAGGGGCATTTCGCCGCTGATGAACAAGTCGAGCTCTAATTCTCCGACAGAGTGCTTATCGACGAGTTTAGGCACCTCATCCACGGATTTCCATCCACCGAAGGCACATCCTTTCCACACACGACCAGTCACCAATTGGAACGGCCTCGTCGAGATCTCCTGGCCCGAGGCTGCGACCCCCAAAATAACGCTCTGTCCCCAGCCCTTGTGACAGGCCTCGAGGGCAGCTCTCATTGTGTTCACGTTACCGATGCACTCGAACGTATAGTCGAGGCCGCCATCGGTCATACCGATCAGGACCTCCTGTATGGGCCTGTCATCGTCATTCGGGTTAACAAACTCGGTCGCTCCGAGCTGTTTGGCTTTTTCCCATTTCGCTGGATTAATGTCGACGGCGATGATGCGCTTGGCTTTGCGTTCCTTGCAGCCCATGATTGCCGCTAGTCCAACAGCCCCGAGGCCGAAAACGGCGCAGTTCGAACCCTCCTCGACGTCCGCGGCGTTCAGGGCAGCACCGTAACCGGTCGAAATTCCACAGCCGAGCAGACAGACTTTTTGTAGAGGAGCCTTGTCATGAACACGACAGAGAGAAATGTCCGCGACGACCGTGTACTCGCTGAACGTAGAAGTTCCCATGAAGTGATAGACGGTCTTCCCATTACACGAGAAGCGGGATGTGCCGTCAGGCATCAAACCAGCTCCCTGCGTCGCGCGGATCTTCGAGCACAGATTGGTTTTCGGTGAGGCGCAAAACTTGCAATCCTTGCACTGAGGGATATACAGAGGGATGACATGGTCCCCCCGCTTGAAACCGGTGACGTCTGGTCCGACGGATTCCACAATGCCACTGCCTTCGTGACCGAGAATCGAAGGGAATACTCCCTCCGGATCGTGTCCTAGAAAAACGTTTCGATTAGGTTCAGACTCTCGCTCTCCACAGCCCGGTCAGCCAGGGTGCACCATCCGAGAAATTCGAGCTCTGAGCTCATCCAGACTTCGCAATCTATGGCTCCGGATTCGATCAGATTCCATCAGAGGTCGACTATCGAACGGAAAAGCATTGGTGGCGAGCAGTTGGTGCTCAAGAAGAACGCGGATTTCCTGGTGCCACCTCGATGATATGCTCTGGTGTGGCCGGCTCTCACTACTGACAGGGGTAGAAGTCCTGCCCGCGAGGCTCGCGCTCTTTTCGGCGATCAAGCACCGCTGGATTGATGAGCTGGAGCCTTCACGGAAGAGGGCAGCCGGATGAGGAAATTCGCATCGTGAGGTGTGAACTCACTCGAAGCACATCAGAAAGGCCCTGCACCTCGAACCAAACTCCGAGATGCCCTGTCGAGGGAGCATAAGGTATATGATTGGAATTCCGTAAGCAGCGGTGGGAGCACCGGTGCTTTGGGGAGATGAAGAGGCCGCCCGAGTGCGTTTCGATTACAGCAGAGGAAATTCTAATTTTAGGATGACGTATAGACGAGAAAAGTACGATCGATGACGGGAGCGGCTCTGGAGCTCCTCAGCCATGAAAATAAGAAGTGTAAAGGGGAGAGGGTTGGATCCCGCAGAGGCCGAATGCGTCCTCGGAGCCTTCATTCGAAATCAAATGAACTAGCATGGAGAGCCGGAAAGGTCAAACTTTCCCCCGAATGTCCACTGCGCTCGCTCCGAAAATAAAACTACCTACATGTTTTGAACGTGGCCGTGATTCGGAGCGACCCGGAATGAAACGAGCTCCTCGGGGACATTGGACTCCGAGGTTTGGTTCGAAGAGACCGCGCGATCTGAGAACACGGAGCGCACGAGGGCTTCTGAAGTGCGGAGTCCGCGGAACGGGGAAGGTTCCGAGAATCAGACTCGCTCAACGGGCAAGCGTAGAAGCTTCTGCCTCAGGATCGAAAACATCATGCCTTCCTCGACATTCTGATCTCCACGCCGGATGAGCGTAAATCAGAATGACCTTACTTTGCCTATGAGCGATTAAGCACCGGAGCCATCCTCGAGCAGTCATTCATCTGAGGAATTCTGATCCGAGAGATTGAGACAAAACTCACCTCCGAGAGTGTAAGCATCGGTATGGCAGACTCCGGTGTAGCAAATTTTGATGCGAACTTCATGCGCTCTCGGAGGCTCCACGGTGACGGTTTCAATCTTCAAAAGCTCTTTCGCAGCCCATGCGACAGCGGCCCGGCATTGGATGGGTTTGCCTTGGGTTCCTTCGGGGAGCATGTTTTCTCTGGTCTTGATTAAAGTTCAGAGGAATAGACGGGTACGAGAGTTTCCCAATTGAACCTAGTGATTGATTCTGTCGAAACTTCGGCTCCAGGCAACCTGCTGCACAAATTGCTAGTGCTGACGGTCCAGCTCTCTCTGTAAACACGGGCGCTGAGACGTCTGCTCGCCGCTGTAAACATCATCTGCGCTGTCAGCGTCAGTAGGAGCCCGCAAACCGCGACAATTCCAAGGATTCCGTGGCGGATGCCGCCGGGAGAGAGAGGGAAGAATAATTACTGTGTCTCATCTGTCCGCTGCGGAAGTCATCACCGGACACACCTTTCTGTGATAACTTTGAGATATCAATATTTATCCATGCGACACTCGACCTTTAAATATTATTATTTCAGCTTCGTATTCTAACAGTCGCTTCGGGTTGAGGGCGGAGTTGTGTACGCTCGTAAGCGTACTCCACCTCATTGAGTTGTTATGAATTGAGACACCTGCCTTGAAGTCTCCCAAAATCCCCTATCGGGAAAATGGGAGGGCTAGTCCCGGATGTCCCAAGAAGTAGAAATCGGCTCAGATCGAGCGGAAACTTCAAAGTCCGCCAAGACAATCAACGGGAAGGGAACATTAGGTAGAAATCGAATCGATTGTTCCACGAAGCGCGTGCATTGACTCTTACGCTGCTTAAGGCTCTGCAAGAGACCACCGATACTTGTTTTGATGGGAGCCCTGCTCTGTGAACGTAATGGCTCTCTGCGAGCAGCGCTTTGTTTCTGAAGCACTGACCAGTTAAGATATGCAAAATCGGTAGGCCCCGCGCGATAGATATCTTGGTAGCCACTCCGTTTCCAGCGCAGATCGTGGTGGCGATCAGCTGAATGAGGATACAATGTGATTATGCGAGCGATAAGCCTTGACAATCCGGCTGGCCACGAACTTGGTCCGATAACAGCGAGCCTTCAAGGCTCTTTGCAAACAATGAGATATGCATAGAAGCCAGGCGGAGACCGTAGCTCCCGACCCGTTCCATGAAGGTTTCTGACGGAGATTTCCTCTATCGAGAGCTGAGGCGAAGAGCTCAGGAAATCTTGTCTCCTGAATTCGGATGGGAGGCTCTCGGAGACAGAGGGAGGGAACGGGGAAGGATCAAGGAATTCTGAACCGAAAAAACTGCCTGCATTGCAAAGTTCAAGCTGCGAAAGTTCGGCCGATGAAATCCAGGCGACCTTGTCCTCTCAGTCAGTCAGTAGCACCCATGGAAACTACACGAGACAATCCAACAGAGCTTACAACCTGAGAGTCGGCCGACCCATCTCAGCCAGGCACGTTTACACGTTTTTATGCGAGGACTCTAAGCACTCTGTTATTTGGACGGCTCGTCCCGGACGCTCGCGCTTAATCTGCGGGTCGTGCATCTCGTGAGCTTCCAATAAGTCGTCAGATGCAAATTTTTCAGGGTTCCGCGGCTCCCCACGAGTGTCATTCTCCGAAGGTGTTCCTACACCGACAGTGACATCAGCGACACCGCAGAGGCATTGAAGCTTTGAGAAAGAGGCTGATATCATCGTGATCCACGTACACTTGGGATCGGCCGGGGGACTAATGGTCATCGCTCACCGCGGACAACAACAGACGCAGCGCGTATGGCTATTGTGTCGGAGTGGTCGGGGAGTTTTTCTCGTGATTTCTTTCCGGTTAAGGCCGCTGTCTGCTTAGCGGTTTTCTCGGTCGAGCGAGCGATCGATCGAGGGCTTTCTTTCATTCGGGTGGGGCATAATTTTTGTCTTTGGCTCGAAATCTCGCTTCGTTTATCCGAATGCTCAACGAAATCCATACTATGTCCGCGATGGGAATCTACGGAGCGGTAATTTCTTCGCGATAATTTTAGCTCTCCGCATCACGACGTACATAGGTCCACCCTTGAGTCTTTATCTCCGAAGTGAATATGGTCAGGCATTCGTCATTTTTTCGTATAAGTGCGGAGTACGGACCGATTCCCCCAACGGACGAAACGCAGGCGCGCACCGAAGTCCAGCCTGAGTGATTCAAATTCCCCCGCAGCGGGGAAACTCCGTGACGTCTACGGAGCGTACCCATAACTACCTGTATGGAAAGGATATCATTCACGGAGACCTGTACCGTTTAATGTCGGTTGAAGTTAATCGGGCTCACCAAGCAAGTTCGATTGCCCGCTATGTTTCATTCAAAAGTCGTCGAACTCCCAGTCGTTGACTGCTAAATTGGCATCTGCCTGCCTGCGCGACCGACTGTATGTCTGGCGGGCAGTATTTTGATCGGTTTTCGGGTGTTCCGCCCCGGAACCCGATTATGACTGACGTGAAAGCCCTCTGGCAGATGCCAAGAGGCTAACCTTCCACATTTTCAGTTATGGTTTCGATTAGATGCCGTGGATTCTCGTTATCGACGCTGTCGTTCTGATCGTCGTCATCGTTATCATCATCATCGAGCCTCATCTACATCGTGCGAGCGTTGACGTCAAGTTAATCATCGCCAGAGTGATCAGCATCATATTCCCGAGGACATTAGCCGTGACATGAGAATAGCGTCTAATAGACAAATGATTCACAACTTATGATCTTTCGTTGTGATCACGCCAAACTCCGTTCAAGCTCTGTCTGTCGCTTACGTCTTGGCAAAGATTCCTGCAGTATTCGAAGTTTCGCTATTCGGAAGTCGATAATTCGAAAAGAGATATCGAGAAGTGAGCTCTCGCGCTTCAGGGGGCTCGCCGAGGGTTTTCGGGCTTCGATTACAGCTATGCTCGCGGACAGCATCCAAACTCCAACATCTACAGCTTGGTGATCGAAGCGGCGAGACACCGAAACACTTCGTCGAAAACATCCTGATTCCGCATCGATGATGTCCAAGACGGATAGGAAAATAAAATGATCAACAAGGGAGACTGCGATGGACCTACACCGAAGAATCGGCTCACTCTGAATAAAAATTTAGAGAAAATGATCATGGTATAAAGAACTCGTGACGAACGCTGACGACCGCATCGAATGGGAAGACCGCGACCGGGAAAAGCAAGAACGAAGTCCGAGGAGAATTCATCGAGCAAGTTCAAATAAAATAAATAGTGCGGAGTTGTGATCCTTTTCAGATCATCCTCTTGGGTCAAATCTTTGGTTTTCCTTTCGTTCCGTTCTTCCGCGATACCTTTTAAGCGCTCTCCTTGTGTGGCTTGGAAGAAAAAACTTTTTGTGAAACCCTCCCCCCGCGTTCCTGCTCGTCGCATTTCCTTTAGGAACCCATTTTTCTTCCCAGAGTAGACACGTCTCGAGCTCAATTCTGTGAGAAACTCAAAGCTCTACGGAGAAATTCCAGCCGAGCTTTCGATGACGGATATACTCTGAGCCGAGCAAAATGTCCTCAAGTTAAATCTGCGATTTCTTGTGAAATCTCTCGGGGGTAGTTTATTAGATCTGACGACAACTCTTGTCGTTGATTGTGAGTGAGGGAAATCTTCGAAGCTCGATAATTTTCTCGCGGGGAGGAGTGCCAAAGTATCAGAACTTCCTCCCGAATTTTTTTCATCGTAGCGTCGCTTTCCGGAAGATTTCCGATCAGCGTTCGCCCCAGAGCGTTTCCGCGCACTGACGTGATTGCGCGCGTGACATCATTCTAATCATTGTCAACGCAGAGCTTCTCCAAAGACGGTTCGCATTTTCTGACAAAGACGCTTCAAAGATAAAGTTCTCCCTCCGCGCGATAAGAGAACCAGAATTCAGAACTCGGGTGACGAAGGGATCAACTTTTCAAAAATGACTTGGGTGTGTCCTCGAGCGGTTATGTCGCTTCGAGCGCTGCAGCTTCCCGGAAAGACGAAGCTCCGAGGGAGCGGAGGGGGTCTGTATTGGTCGCAGCCTGTGGATGGATCGATTGATTCGTTTCTATTGGAATTTTCTCCGAGCACCTCTATTCCGGAGCTCGTCTCGGAGGATGGGGGGTATGGTGAACCTGATTAACGACTGTTGGGGTTTAATCATCGAGAAAGTGCAGGATTCGGAGAATCGATCGGGAATGCTCTTCGGGGGAGGGAACATGGGATGAGCGTTATGTACGTGAATAGAAAATTCCGGAGGAGAAGCAGAGAAAGGACACGGCCAGCACCTGAAGCGTCAGAAGCACCAACAGCCGATAAATCACTCCACTCATTGAAGGCGCCGAACGTTGTGGAGCGGACCTGACATTCGAGTTACCGAGTGAAATCTCGAGGCGGAGAGAACGAACTCACAACAGAGACTGAGAGACTTGAAAACGATTCTCCGGAGGAGCGCAAGCAATATCGATTTTTTGCTCGTCGTTCTCAACCCACTCGCTTGACGAGATCATCGCTTGTCAAGCCGAAGAAAGCAGAAATAATGCCTGAAATGTCTGGGTGCAATAGAAGCCGGAAGAATCAACTGAATCCCGACGAGAGTCTGCTTCATCAATGCAGTTAAGGGATTTACAAGCGTCTCATCTCATTCGAGATTCCTCCGAATCCAAGCTCCAAGATCTATCTCCGGATTCGATTCGAATCTCTCCGAGCTCAACGTATGGTAGAAGAGCCCCGGGAAGCTACTCCCATTGCAGTTTCGGCTCTTCGGAGGTTTCGCTGGACACCAATGCTGGAGAAGGAGCCCAGAGGAGCTCCAAATTGAATTTCTCCCGCTCCCGTTCTACTCATCGCCGGCGAGAGAATCATCTAGGCGAGCGCATGGCCCCCAGGAGGCATTTCGGCCGAATCTCGCGACGAGTATACCTCGCTGGGAGGCGTTCGGGGCAGCGTTGCGAACGGATAGCCGAGGAGAGCATTCCGAGGGAAACGCAAGAGGAACTGATTCGGCTTGGGCGCATTTTCCAAGGCTCGTAAAACAGCCGAGCTTCAGACGAAACAGTCGTCAACTTCAAATCAGCCGGCGAGCCGGCGACCCATCGACCAAACATACGTGCTGTGGACAGACGGACGGCTGCAATTCAATTTATTGCGGGATAGATATCTTCGCTGCCTTGGATGGGCCGCCGCCAACAGCAGACGGTGCCGACGTCATCGCACTCGTTGTCATCGACAGTGTTTTCGGCAGCGGGGTGGTTTTTTCCAGCGATTCGGAAAAAAAACTCAGTTCGTGATTCCTATCGGATCCGAATTACTTTATATAGGGGGCTCGGGAGGTTTGATATCTGAGCGAT